CATTAATCCTGTGGTGTCCATTGATCTTGATGTCAGTGGTGGAGGCTGTGTTCTCCTGTCGCTGTTTCCTGGCCTGCACTTCTTTCCTCCGGCTGCGCTGCCCGTGGAGGAGAAATATCAATAAGAGGGTAAACAGAACTGCTCGCAATAACTATATATCATTTTTCTGAAAGACATACTAGCACTTGGAAAACTATAAAAGTAACATTAAAGGTGCATGAGCGTACTTCAAATACAAATCAGAATAGTGCTGTCACAAGATTAATCTTGATTAGTCACATCCAAAATAAAAGCTTGTATTTTTTTACATTATGTATGTGAACTATTTTGTATGTTTGCGCATATTTTGTATGTGTATATATAAATACATGCAAATTTTTGAGAAAAGGTTTTTCTATTTATAAATTGAATATATCTAATACAAATGATTAATAAATATACACTAACTGGCCACTTTAATAGGTACACCTGTCTAACTGCTCATTAACCCAAACTTATCAGCCAATCACATGGCAGCAATTCCATGCATTTAGACATTTTCAAGATGATCTGCTGCAGTTCAAACTGAGCATCAGAATGGGGAAGAAAAGTGATTTAAGTGACTTTAAATGTGGTTCCAGATGGGCTGGTCTAAGTATTTCAAAAACTGCTGATCTACTGGGATTTTCACACACAGTCATCTCTAGGTTTTACAGAGAATGGTCTGAAAAAGAGAAAATATCCAGTGAGCAGCAGTTCTGTGGGCACAAATGCCTTGTTGATGCCAGAGGTTAGAGGAAAATGGCCAGACTGTTTTCAGCTGATAGAAAGGCAAGAGTACCTCAAATAACCACTCGTTACAATCAAGGTATGCCGAAGTGAATCTGTGAACACACAACACGTCCAACCTTAAGGTGTATGGGCTACAGCAGCAGAAGACCACACCGGGTGCCACTCCTGTCAGCTAAGAACAGAAAACTGAAGCTACAATTCATACAGGCTCACCAAAATTGGACAATAGAGGATTGGAAAAATGTTGCCTGGTCTGATGAGTCTCGATTTCTGCTGCAACATTTGGATGGTAGGGTCAGAATTTGGTGTCAACAACATAAAAGCATTGATCCATCCTGCCTTGTATCAGTGGTCCAGGCTGCTGGTGGTGGTGTAATGGTGTGGGGGATATTTTCTTGGCACACTTTGTGCCCATTTTTACTAATTGAGCATTGTGTCAACGCCACAGCCTGAGTATTGTTGCTGACCATGTCCATCCCTTTACGATCACAGTGTATCCATCTTCTGATGGATACTTCCAGCAGGATAACTTGCCATGTCATAAACTGTGAATCATCTCAGACTGGTTTCTTGAACATGACAATGAGTTCACTGTACTCAAATGGCCTCCAAACTCACCAGAGCTCAATCCAATAGAGCACCATTGAGATGTGGTGGAACGGGAGATTTGCATCATGGATGTGCAGCCGACAAATCTGCAGCAACTGCGTGATGCTATCATGTCAATATGGATCAAAATCTCTGAGGAGTTTTCCAGTACCTTGTTGAATCTGTGCCGCAAAGGATTAAGACCGTTCTGAAGGCAAAAGTGGGTCCAACCCAGTACTAGTAAGATGTACCTAATAAAGTGGCCGGTGGGTGTATATGCAAGTATTTTGGCTTTTTTGTGTTTTGTATGTTTTATTTATATATATATATATATATATATATATATATATATATATATATATATATATATATATATATATATATATATATACACAATATCTATACACATCGAGTTCAAACAGATTATGTTATACAAACTTTTATTTTGGATGCGATTTAATCCTTTGACAGCACTAATATGAAATTTTGAGGGCACTTTTTACTTGCTCTACAATAAACTTAATTGTGCATGTGTGTTTCTAAATGCATGAATTCAGGTGCGTGTCCAGCTTCCGGAAATAACTGAACTGCCACCAGATGATCCGAATGAAGAAGAGCCAACTGAACAGCATGACCTGATTGACAAAGACTCGGTTAGAGTGGAGACTAGTGATTGGCTGTAATTTTATTAGCGTTTTATTAAAATTACTGTTACACAGCGAAGCGAGAAACACCAAGTGCCAATGAGGATGAAGTGTATGTGCATGCTGCCTGGTAAGTGGCTCACAGTTGAAGAGTTTTAATACTGCATTAATATTGTGTGATTTCTTTAATGGTCTAACTGTGTGACCGAGCCAAGCGATATTGGTGTCAGCTTTATAAAATGCAGTGTTTTCTACAGTATGATGTATGTGTATATTGTGGTTGTTTTATGTTTGTTACACCCATGGGATTCTTGTTACATTTAAGTAATTTTCTAATTGTACTAATACTAGAGACGGGTCAAAATATATGGCTAGACAGATGTCTTTTTTTCTATTCATTTTAATATTTGCTTGTGTACCTAAAATGTTTAAAAAAATATTTAAGCAAGATCTGTTGATCAAAAAAAATGGTAAAGTACATGTATGTTTTTTTATGGTGATGTAATTGAATAAAATGTATTTCTAAAATTTTGCCTCATTGAACGTTAGTTTGTGAGTTTTTGCGGGTCTTAAAAAAATCTTGAGTCAGCTCTTTACATTTAGAAAATGTTTAAATATGAGCAATGAAATCTTGTATGAACTGCAATAAATGAGCATCTTCCTACCTTTTTAAATGTACAATCCACCCGTCTAGATATCACTATATGCCAAGATTTACTTAATGTAGATTGAAGAATTTAAGCCTTGTTTTCTGACAAACTAAACAAAATTGTGACATGCTTAAACAAATATCTGTCTGTAGAGAACACGTTATTTTGCTGGTCCATCTGAGTATTAGTAGACTGTTTGCTTAATATCTGTTGATATATTGCTCCTTTTTCCCAGAGATGGGTTGCGGCCGGAAGAGCATCCGCTGCGTAAAAACGTGCTGGATAAGTTTGCGACCCCGGATTAATAAAGGGACTAAGCCGACAAGAAAATGAATGAATGATTACTGCTCCTTCATCAGACATGTTACTGACTATAAGAGACTTTGCAAGTACATGTCAATTTACACTAGCTCTAAGCCCAACCATAAGTCTACTTATGATCTAATGAGAATTAGTTGACATGTAGATGCAAGCTTAAATTCCACAAACGGACCATCAAAATAAAGTGTGACCAATCAATTTTCACATGCAGAATGGATATTTACACTATAATCGTGGATACAGTACATGATAGGATAAAAAGACTCAAAAGTTTTAAATTTGCTATGTTTAAAGGGGGCTTTACACTGAAAACACATGGGAATTCTTTTACATGGCCCAAAGAAGTGTTTCCCCAAAAACATATTACATTTTGAGGATTTAAAACACAATCCAGTGATGCTGGTGATGTTTTTAATGGCATAACTATTTCTAATGACATAAGAACAGTAAGACAAAGAACAGTTTCTTTACACTGAAACAACAGGGCGACAGATTGTTTTGCAAGGCCCGAGGAAGTGTTGACCCCCATGAAGTTTACATTTAAATTAAGCAGATTTTTCTGAGCACATAAGCTAGCATTTTTTAAGCATAGTTTGATTTTTAGTCAATTTGATCTGAAAATTGATCAACCCCCCCCCCCCCCCCCCCCCCCCCCCAACCCCTTGTAAGAATCTTTAAACATTTTCACAGGACAATGTGAGAAAATGAGAGCAGATATTGATGAAGAGCAGCAGGTCAAACTGTGTTGCTGATAAAGCTTTAATGTCTGCTCCTTATTAGTTAATTTTTACACAATATATCGATTGACAGATTGTTTCATTCAAAATATTACATTTTCTTTTGGTGGATTTAAGAAGGAATAGTTCACCCCAAAATGAAAATTTCCTTATTTACTCTCTCACACGATTTCATCTGAAAATTTTCTTTCTTCTTTTGAACATAAAACAAGTTATTCTAGAGCAGGGGTGTCCAAACTTGGTCCTGAAGGGGTGGTGTCCTGCAAATTTTAGCTCCAACTTGCCTCAACACACCTGCAAGATGTTTCTAGAAAGCCTAGTAATGCGGCAGTCACACTAGAGTTTAAGCTTGTGAAATTCTGTAGTATGGCATTGCGAAAAGGACCGTGATTTAACAAGATGATTAGACATTAAAAAAAGCAAGCAATTGGTCCATTTTTTAAATTTCTGTCCAGAGAAGTCATGTTTTGATCATCGGTTGGTCTTACGCAATCATATGATGTAATTTCGCAGGTCAGAGTTCACCAAGCTTGAACTTTCCAATGTAGCGAACTGCGAAGCTTGCCACATGACTTTACGTTTCCGGTCTGATGCATTCCTGTGCGTATGAATGGAAGTCTATGGGGAGAAAAGTGCAGTGTGACCGCAGCTTTAAAGCTTGATGAGCTAGCAGGACATGCAGGACATCAGCCCTCCAGGACCGAGTTTGGGCACCCATGTTTTAGAGAATGTTAGAGAAGAAAAAAACAGCCATTTTCTTTTCTAACATTCTTCTAAATATTTTCCTTATTGTTCAACAAAAGAACAGGTTGGGAACAAATGGAGGTTGAGTACATGATGACAGAAGTTTAGATTTTGAGTGAACTGTTGCTTTAAAGCATAGGTCTCAAACTTGATTCCTTGAGGGCTGCAGCTCTGCACAGTTTAGCTCAAACCCTAATCAAACACACCTGATCCAACTAATCAAGGTGTTTAAGACTACTAGACACCACTGGATCAGCTGTGTTTGATTAGGGTTGGAGCAAAACTGTGCAGAGCAGCGGCCCTCCAGGAATTGAGTTTGAGACCTATAATTTACATTAATGTTTGTAAAACCTACAGAGACCTTGCATTCTGTACTTCCCTATGATAAGCAGTCAGTTTTGTCTGTTGATATCTTATGAATGCCCAAGTTTTCACGAAGATGTTAATATGTGGCGAGAATTAAACAATTTCACTTAAGATTTGTAAAACAAGATGTGCAGTGGTCACAGTAAATGAGGTGTTGAAATCTAAAAGAATGAGGCCTGTTTATCTCTTCGATAGTTTTACTATTAAAAAAAATGATGCAGTTTACTTCTGTAAAAATAAAAAGACAGCTCTTACAGCAGAAATGATAAAAACTCAATGTAAAAAGGCAGAGCATTCAACCAGACCAGATTATGTGAAGCTGAACTTTTCCCGTTTGGCTTGTTATTTAAAAAATTGTAAAAACCTTTTTTATCTGCTAAAAATATACATGCACACAAAATAAGATAGGACAAAATCAGTTTTAAACATCAAGATAAAATTGGATAAGGCTTATAATCTCAGTTTTTTTGCTTTGACTAAAAATATTTTCAAATATTTCTCAATGCAACAAAAGTCTTTAATGTGAGCCCATGGATTTTCAGTTTACTCTGTTCAGCAGGGCTGCTCCTGGTACTGTCCCTCTGTAGCAGTGAAAAAGTCCTCTAGAACGCTGCGCAGGAACTCGAAGGTGGGCCGGTTGTCTGGGTTCTCCGTCCAGCAGTGTTTCATAACGTTATAGAGAGCCTCAGGACAGTTATCGGGGCAAGGCATGCGGTAGCCCCTCTCGAGGTTTGCGATCACCTCTGGGTTTGTCATTCCTGAAAGATCACGAGTAACGGGGTGAAAAACAGGATTTGATCATTCGGACTTAGGCTCAACTTTATTATCCCGTTTAGGGAAACTAAAATCTGAGCAAGGTGCCGTATTACAGGAGAAGTTCCATATTACAACACAACATACACACTTCTGTACAAAACTGAAATAAGTTCAAACAGGAAGAACATTGAGGCTATTTGTTACCTGGATATGGGATCCTTCCATAAGTAACGATCTCTGTCAGCAGTACACCAAATGACCAGACGTCTGATTTGATTGAGAATGTGCCGTAGTTTATGGCCTCTGGTGCCGTCCATTTGATAGGAAACTTCGCACCTGGTTAATGTAAAGTAATAGGCATTGTTTAGATCCCTTTTTAAGCTGTTGTGGTCAGAATTTCTTGCATTTGGTTCAAAGATGCATCAAATTAGTTGAATAATAGATTAATTAATAGAATAGAAGTGATTTTAAATATGTTGTGTATTAATCATAAGAAGAGTATTTGATTGTTTCAAATATCTTATAAGTAAAATCAAAATACCAGTCATGTGTCTTTCATCATAACACATTTATGTAAAAAACAATTAACGACACTTACTGAACTCTACTTAAAAAAAAAAAAAAAAAAAAGTTAAATTAAGGGTGATCGTACTACATATGAAGTGCCATATGACATTTTTCTCTACGTTAAAATACTATTTGACTATAATACTAATGTGCATTTAAAGTGTAAGTTATTAGAGTTTTATAAATGATGTTATAAGATTAGCATTTAATGTTTTAATTTAAGACTGTAGCCTATAGGCAAATAATAAACTGGCCAGCTCATTCAGTTTTCCTCAGTCAGTATTGGCCATTTGAATAATTAAAAATTAAATTAGTCTTAAAGCCTTCTTCTTTCGGTTATGGCCACAATTTATGATGGCTTAATAGTCAAAAATGGGACAAATCAGCTCATGTAGGGACCAAATTCTGGACTTCGTCTCGGAGGGCCTTTCGAACCACCTGAATAACTACATAAGTGTACCCCCCATCCCCCCAGGAATGTTTGGATTTATTTAGTCATTTATTTATATATTTGCGTATTTATTTATTTATTGTTTTTGTAGGTTTCGTCCTCCATATATACTTGAAGGGAGAGGAATAACATATTTATTCAATATTGGCCTAATATAAGATTTTCACCTCTAGAGGGAGCCACACTTTCATTTATGCGGTAGACCTGCTATATTAAAATCTGCCCCAAATCTGACTGCGTTAAAATGCGCTCAGAGTAGATTGAGAACCGATTTGATGAATTAAAAAATAAAATAAACAAATATATTATGTTAATAAAAGGCCTGTATAAGTGAATGTGGGCTATATACGAGATTTAAATGATGCCTGATAAAACGTCACAGGTTTGAAGGCACGCGAACGTTCTAAATCTAAAAGAATGTTGACATCATAGCGACCATTCCACGGTGAACAGAGTTACATAGCATTTGACAGTCGCTACTTATCGCTTGTTGAATCCTGTTTGTCGTTGCTGTGATATAATCTTCACTCCACTTTTTCAACATGTGGTTTAACAGTCAATCCGTGCCACGATCTCCAGAACATCGAGACGTGAGCTCTCCTAAGCGTCAGATGAAAGTTTCAGTGAAAAGTGTCAGCTACTTTTTACCTGTTTCTGATCTGCACGCCAATGCTGAGTGTCCCTCGTCTGATCTGCCCTATTCCTGGAGCAGTGCAGTGAGGATGGACACAAGTGCGCCTCTCCCTCAGCATCCTGAGGTTGTATGCTCAAACCTGACTGTTAAGCTGCGCCATGTTCCCGTGAAACCTGCTGAGAAGCAGAAGTTCACTGATGGTCATGGGCATCCAAAACGTCGAGGAGTGAGGTCTCTTAAGCATATGATGGAGGTTTCACTGGAAGACATCAGCTATCTTTCATGTGAGCCTGACCTGAATGCCAGCATTGACCATTCCTCATCTCCTCTGCCCCATTCTGAGAGTCGAGAAGTGAGAATGGATAAACCTACACCTCTCTGTCATCATCCTGATGCTCCACCCTCAAAACTGCCTGTTCTGAAGTCAAGGTGTGTTCCTGTGAAGCCTGTCAACCAGCAGAGTTTCACAGATGAACCCTCAGAATGGCTGGGCGTGTGGTCAAATCATATGAGGAAAGGTACAGTTAAAAAACATCAACCCTTCATGTGAGTCTGACTTTACTGTCAGTGTTGCCCCTTGCTCATTTTTTGTGCCTCTTTCAGGGAGCCAATCAGTGAGAATGGATAAACATACGCCTCTCCGACATCCTGATGCTCCACGCTCAAAACTGCCCATTCTGAAGCCAAAGCGTGTTCCTGTGAAGCCTGTCAACCAGCAGAGTTTCACAGATGAACCCTCAGAATGGCTGGGTGTGGGGTCGAATCCTATGAGGAAAGGTACAGTGAAAACCATCAACCCTTCATGTGAGTCTGACCTCAGTGTTGCCCCTTGCTCATTTTTGTTGCCCTTTCAGGGAGCCAACCAGTGAGGATGGACGAGCATACACCTCTCCGAAAGCGTTCTGTTGCTGGACGCTCAAAACTGCCTGTTCTGAAGTCAAGGTGTGTTCCTGTGAAACCTGTTAGTGGACAGAAATTCACTGATGGACCTCCAGAGCATCAGATGAAAGTTTCACTGAATGACTTCAGCCATCCTCCATGTGAGTCTGATCTGAATGGCAGCGTTGACCGTTCCTCATCTCTTCTGCCTCATTCTGAGGGCAGACCAGTGAGGACGGATAAACGTAGGCTTTTCCAGCAGCATCCTGATGCTCCACACTCAAAATTGGCCATTCTGAAGCCAAACCATGTTCCTGGGAAGCCTGTCAACCAGCAGTGCTTCACAGATGAACCCTCAGAATGGCTGGGCGTGGAGTCTTGTGAGCATCAGGTGAAAGTTTCACTGACAGATCCTCCATGTGAGTCTGACCTGAATGTCAGTGTTGAGTGTTCCTCATCTCTTCTGGATGTAAGAGTAGGCAAATCCCAGCATCCAGCTGCTGTTTCCACACACTTGCCTGTTTCGAGGCCACGCTGTGCTCCTGTCAAGCTTTTGGCTGGACAGAAGTTCATTGACGAAGCTCCAGAACGTCAAGTGTCCAGGTTTCCTCCTTTAGTGAATAAGGCAGAGAGGAACGGCACTGACCCTTCATGTGGGTCTGATTGGAAAGTTAAGTCTCACCTTTCCTTACCAAGCCTGCCACGTCTTTCAGGTGGAGTGAAGATGGACAAGCATGTGCCTCTGCATGTTCCTGTGTTTACAAAATTGCCTGCTCTGAAAGCAGCTCATGTTCCAGTGCGACCTGCTCTTCCTTCAAACTTCATGTTTTTTCCATTTGATGATGAGGATGTCAAGATGAAGAGGGCTCGCTCAGTAAAAAGAAGCCCTCCTCTGCTTTCAAGAGTCCACTCTGCAACCTATTTTTAGGATTATTCTTGTTTTTTGTGTCAATAAATGTTGTCATACTTTAAAACTATTCTCTGTGTTATTCTTTTATTAATGCTTTTTTGTGTATTAATCAGTTATTTGAGCATTAAGGAAAGTCAGATTTTTGTGGGTCAGAAACAATTTCAACTTACTTAAAAAGGTTCCATCAGCTTGCATAAAATAATAAATTAATCTCAATAACATTTTATTTATGATGATAGGTTTGACAAATTATGAAATGAGCTTTACATTTTTTCTTTCGTTATTTAAAAGCCATTGATTTGAAAATTAGTGTATTCACATGTATTATACACAAATATAAAGTTCTAACCACTTGCAATATATCAGCCTGTTAAACAGACAGTAGATCAAAATAAATCCAAATATCAAATAAATTAAATAAAACTACCTTTATTTGTCCAAAGGTAGCAAAATACATCTGTTTATGTGTAAGTTTAGGATAGTGAGCAGTTAAAATTGGTCTCTTTTTGTTTTCTCTGGGTTTCTAAAACAGCTTGGGATTCGAAGTTACTCACAACAGACATGAAGAGATGCCATTTTTCAATAAAACATTTGCAATAGATTATCATGTAATTATCATGTTTGTTTAAATGTTAAATATATATATAACAGTGGGGGGTCCCCCACAGTCCAAAGACATGCAGTACAGGTGAATTGGGTAGGCTAAATTGTCTGTATGTATGAGTGTGAATGAATGTGTATGGATGTTTCCCAGAGATGGGTTGCAGCTGGAAGGGCATCCGCTGCATAAAACATATGCTGGATAAGTTGGCAGTTCATTCCGATGTGGCAACCCCAGATTAATAAAAGGACTAAGCCGAAAGGAAAATTAATGAATGAAAACTGAGTGTAATTCTCAATAGTTTTGGCCAATGCAAAAAAAAAAAAAAAAAAATTAATGAGTCCAACATCCAGCTGCTGGAAAACACACAATGTGATATAAGAGGTCATCTTTCACTCCTGTATTGTTTTTAAATGGAGAAAACAGTTTACAGGTTTTGTTCTAAATCTTGAGCATTACTCTTGAAACAAAAAAAGAGCAGTAAAAAGATGTGAAGTACCAAAAGTGGCTCATGTTAAAATGAATTAGAATATTAATTTGGCGATTGTTGTTATTCATGAATTTTCAAAATGCACTTTTTTTTTTTAACAAGAGAGGCTAGATAAATTGTAAAGCTCTACATTATTATTGTTTTTTTATTTAAAATGGTCAAATTCTGACTGAGGAAAGTTGAATGTGCTGGCTAGTTTGTTATTTATAATTAATCTTTAGTAAATATTTTTGGTAGAAATGTGTGGTTATGATGACCATCAGACAAGCTAATTCAGCTTAAAATAGTGCTTAAAATGTAACGAAATCTCATAGTTAAATTGAAAATGGGGCGTAAAATTGCAAAAAAAAGGTACACTTTTTTGAGAAAAGAACCACCCCTTTCACCGGGCTGGCTACAGGCCTGCATAATTATCTAAACTACTTTTACTAAATTACTTTTGCTTTGATTGATGCTTGTCAAATGTAATGCAAATGTATGATTTTTGTTTTGTTTAATTTAGCTGCACTGTGATATTAGAACAAGTCTTTTGTTGTGTTATTAAAAATTTATTGTACTTTCACCTTTGACCCATATACAAAGGTTCTCTTGCGGAGAACAGTGCAGCAGAGGCTGTCTCACCTTCTCTGGCGGTGTATTCATTGTTTTCAATGAGACGGGCCAGGCCGAAGTCAGCAATCTTGCATGTGAGTTCATGAGACACCAAAATATTGGCAGCTCTCAGGTCTCTGTGGATGTAGTTCTTCTGCTCTACGTAAGCCATTCCTTCTGCAACCTGCAGGAGGCAGAAAAGTGTTAGTAATAAGGCTGTACGTGTGATTGTGTTTAGAATAACATGCCATGCTGTTATGGCATGCATGTTTTAATGTATGTATGTATGTTATATTTGTTTGTTTACTTTATTTATAGAGCACATTTAAAAACGACATACAAAATCTATACTTGGCCTATATATATAAACCAAATATGTAAAACAAATTTAAATTAATTAATTACAATCAGAAGCAAGAGACAGAAGGTGATTTTTTTAAAATGAGACTTAAAAGCACCAAGGGAAGAGCAAGAGCAAAAGCTCTGTTTCCTTTTGATTTTAACCGTGATTTGGAAACAACAGGTTTTTAGACCTAATCCAATGAAACCTGCCAATGAATTAGCCCATCAAGTAGGTTCCTGACCAATCAAACTTTTACATTTGTTTTTACATGCATATTTTGGACATGACTAGACATTTGGTTATATAACAGATAATACTGTGCCATGTTCTGTATTTCACAATGCAGTGTGCTTTATTTTACCGTTTATTTGTAGCTATAGTGACCTTTGGGGTGCAGATGCTGGACTGCAACGCTATTTCACGATACAACATTCTAACTGCTTATCAGTCAACTCGTCCTGAGAGTGGCGCTCCAATGACAGTATTTGAAGAACCTCTCAAAGTTAATAAAAACTCGAAATTACGCTAGAAGATGAGATGAAACAGTACAACTTAAATGTTTCACATCTTGTAATCGCTGAATCAGTGTTTCAGTGTTTCAAATTTGTCAGTAAAACAGCTTGTAAACTACGTCAAATATTTACCTCAGCAAATCCATTCAAACCTAAATATCCTAGAGAATATTTGAGAAATTAGTTGAACATACACAACATATTCATTATATGTTGTACTTGTTAAGTCTCATTAATTAAATTACGTTTAAATAAACTCTAAACAACAAATGTTAAACCCATTTACACTTTTAGATTCAAACTGGGCCTTAAAATTTATTATGACGCATGCGCAGACAGTTGCGCATGCTCGAAATCGAGTGACTCCCACTGCTTAAGCTAAAAAAATATATATATATCTAATGAAATAAAACAAAATAAAATAAAAAACACCTACACATTGGACCTATTGGTGAGTGAATTAAAAGTAAATTTTCATTTTTGGTTGAACTATCTCTTTGAAGTTCTAAGACTTTGATTCTCTGATTGTTGTTTATAGTGTTACAAGTTGTGAGGAGAAAGTCGATCGTGTCCACTTTCAGAACAAGGAACTCCATATACAAAGTTAAGGTAAGAGCAGACCGAAGAGCAGGCTAAGGTAAAAACACTGCTAACTAGTTACTGCTGAACTCAAGTGTGGGATGGATTAATATTGTATTGGTCCTGGGAAAGTAAAACTCTCAAATCTGTACCTATGATCTGTACACGAGGCTGTTACACCGCATGGTGCATTTCCCTCAGTCACCACATGTTTACATAAGCGCTGTTGAGCGTGTAAGCCAATATTAGCACTCATTTAGTATTGCATAAAATGGTATGTCTGTCTATTTTTAAATTTTTTTAAACTAATTTAACAGTTATTTTAACCACACCGACATGACTGTCCATCACATTTAACTTGAATTACATTATCTCTCTGAAGTTCAGAGAAGTCTCCATGCTCAGAAAACTAAACTCATTTGTTTTGGTGAGAAAAACAGAAGCAACAGTACTACTGCTAAACCAGTAAAGACAGCAACACCCTGAAAAAATGTACATTTTAATTGCTCTTTTCTATATTAACCTTTTGTGTATTCAAATAGTGGATAGCTCAGTATATAGCACTATCGCCTCACAGCAAGAAGGTTGCTAGTTCGTGTCCCGGCTGGGCCAGTTGGAATATCTCTGTGGAGTTTGCATGTTCTCCCTGTGTTCGCATAGGTTTCCTCCGAGTGCTCCGGTTTCCCTCACAGTCCAAAGACATGCTCCATGGGTGAATTGAATAAACTAAATTGGCCGTAGTGTAAAAATAGTAATAAATTTGAGTGTGTATGGATGTTTCCCGGTACTGGGCATCCGCTGTGTAAAACATATGCTGGATAAGTTGGTAGTTCATTCCACTGTGGCGACCACTGATGAATAAAGGGACTAAGCCGAAGGAAAAAGAATGAATGTATAAGGCAAACACTGCATTGTTAGCAGAAGTCGTTATTTAAAGTTGTTTTATTATTATTTTTACTGTCACTTTTGATCATTTTAATAATTACTTGCGCTATAAAAATATTCCTGTTTAAATGGAGTGTGTAACATGATGATCTCATGTGACATAGCATACTGTTTAGTTTATTGCTGCATAACTGTTTCACATACTATTTTTTACTAAACAGTACACAGTAGGCTAGTGTTGAAATTCTGAATATGACCTATGTTATTAACACAGAGGTCAGTTCCTGAGACAGGGAGGCTCTAGCTTTAACTTCCCCCGATTTGACTTTTAACCTCCTACTGCTCCACTCCACCCAGCACTAACCCGCAGGTTTCATATGCTGAAGTTCTTATTTAATCTCCAGTTATGTCTGATCTCTGAACAGTTTGGTACAAGTTGAACAGAACTTCTGAGACCCGTTATGCCTGAGACAGTACGGCAGCTGGTGTCTGAGAATTTTTGTGTCAAATCATTTCAGCGATCTGTGATTGTGGCTAGATGTTATCATGGCTTCTCCGCGTGTGTGTCAGCAGATGCATTATGATGGTAGTGCGATTCTCATTGGCTGCCAAACTGTCCAATTTTTTTTTTTTTTTTTTACAAAGGATGTTGCACTATGACACTTTGTGCATGTTTGTTCAAGGAAGTGTTATGCCGGCAGTCATGATTCAAAAATGTGTCGGTCTCACATGAACATGCCTGACAGTTTTGCTTCAAAACTAACAGGTAAGCATAAATGTACTGCCATTATTGGTGTCTGTGTTCATAAGACGCCTGCAAGTAGTCATTCTAAATGTCCTGAATGAATAACATATTACAGAGCATCTAAGCGGATGCCCAAAAGCAAAACATCTCTATTTAGTGCCACTTCAAAACATCCTGTCTTTCACTTTCGCTCGTATACTCTCTCTCTCTGCCATTGTTTTTTTTTTTTTTTTTTGCTCTTTAACGAAGACAAAGACGTGTTAAGTGATCTAAAGACAATAAGGCAAAAAAATGTACAAAATAGGATGAAATGGTTTTGCAGTGCATCTACAATAGACATAAGAAAACAGAATAAAAGCACAAACTGAGATTAAATACATGTGCAATTGTGTGATTGTAAGGTGTTCATGTGTGATTGTTATGGTCTGAAATGTACAGGTTCATATGTTTTGAGTTTGAAAAGGATGGATTAAGGAGAGGACGACTTTCATAATAAATAACTTTTGAGGCTTTTTTTGTGGAGAATGCAGTTGTTTAGATTGCAACTGTGCACTTTATTTATACTGTAAGGATAGTGCCTATTTTAAATACTTATAATTTCTGAGTGCGCATTGGTGGTGTGCAAAGACGGTTGATGTTGTCCATCCACAAGATGGCAACAGAGATCGCATAATAAGTCCTTAGCAAAGAAAAACAGCGTAATTTCTAACTACAGCTTATCAAATCATTATTAAACAGGTAAGTGATATTCTAAGTCAATCTCTCTCTTTTACATGTTGTAGTGCTGTATTTATATACCATAGTAATTGTAGTGTATTAAATGTGACATGACACTCAAATATCAGGTATGTATATATGTATTTTGTGTTGGCCACTCTTTGTATAACTCTGAGTTACTTTATGAGGAAAAATTATAGCAAAAGAAATTCGTTTCAAAAAGATATATTTTTTTCCAAAAAAATTTATACGAATTATATTTTCGTTGTGTCCCTCCACTACTCAACTATATGGATGGATGATTTGTTTCGCTCTGAAGTAAATATAGATTTAATAAATGCTTCTCTGTGATTTCATCACAAATCTCAGTTACATATTCGCTAGTTTTTTAAAATGTCATTATTTCAAATATCATGTCTTGAGCATCTGATTTTTCCTTTCTGCTGCTTTGTGCTTCATTTTCCTCATGCCATGAGGAAAATATACATTTAGATTTTAAAGAAAATATTTTAATATTAAGAGAGAAGTCATAAGCTCGTCGTAAGGAATGTCCTTAAATAATGTAGTTATTAGTTGTCTGCAAGCATCAGTGTTTGTTGAGATTAAAATAAGATTTAAAAAAAATTAAACTGAGATAAGTAATATTGTTATAGCAACACATGTGACTGCTTTAAGAAATAACGCTCATCGTAGACGTCATGGAATGACTGATTGTAAAGGAACATGTAGTCTGGCACATTTGTTATCCACGACATGTCAAGATTTAAAAAAAAAAAAAAAAAAAACGCATAATCTGGCATAGTGACTTTCATAACTGACAATAAAATTGTGTGATCTGACCAGGGCTTAAGAGGAAAACATAGACCAATTAGTAAATAATAGAAATATATACATTAATTCATTCATTCATTTTTTTGTCAGCTTAGTCCTTATATTAATCTGGGCTCACCACAGCGGAATGAACCATCAACTTATCCAGCACAGGTTTTACACAGCGGATTCCTTTCAGCTGCAACACATCACTGGGAAACATCCACACACCCTCATTCACACACATACACTACGGACAGCTTTAGCTAACTCAATGAATTTACCTATACAGCATGTCTTTGGACTGTGGGGGAACCCCGAGCACCCGGTGGACACCCACACCAACACAGGGAGAACATGCAAACTCCCCAAAGAAACGCCAACTGACCCAACCTAAGCTTAAACCAGCAACCTTCTTGCTGTGAGGCAATCGTGCTACCCACTGCGCCACCCAAAAATATATATATAATTTCTTTTTTTATAATGTCATTCAGCATCTTATACAATCTATACCACCATTTCTTTACATTAACAAGAAAGAGAACATCATTAGCCTCATATCACATGATCCCCCATGATCCTCTGACCGACAAAACGCTGCTCAATAACATCAGTGTTTTCTCATCCTCACACCGAGCGCATGAGCAACTCTCACTTATTGAAACATTCATGCCATGAGTAATCAAGACCATCTGACAGTTAAATGATTACAACCTGATCAGTTAGAAAACCCAAAAATGAAATGTCTGTCTGTTTGTGAATAGTTCCGTTTGAAAATACATTTTTTGATTCGTTCCAGTTGGATGTGTTCGCATAATAATTAGATGTTCTCAATCAAGCATGGCATGAGGTTAATTAGGTCAAGAATTACTGTGACCTATATTTGGCCTTTGTATGGTCCTTACAATTGATGTGTACAATATTTGCTATAGTGGACTAACAATGTATTCCATTGTAAGCTGCTGCTTTAAATAAAGTCATTTTAACTTACTTAGATGAAACTGACTTAAAGCATCAAGTTAAATCTTGTATTACTTAAATAGAGTTCATTAACTACTTTTATTAAGTTAAAGAAACAAAACTTGGTTTATTTTTTATGCTCACCCTAATACTGCGTGTTGTTTATTTATTTGTCTTATTTTCACATTCTAATGTGTTTATATGGTGCTTAAAAATTTCTATAGTCAGTGCTGAAATTGGGGACTCTATATTGTGTGTTATGATGTTATTGGGTAGCATTGCAGTTGTGTCTGAATTAAGGTGTCTAGACTGGTTCCAGCACACACACAGTCGTGCTCATTGTTAACCGTGAGATTAGGAAGCAGAACGTCAGCTGAGTAATACTAGCGTCACAAGCTTAGAGACAGCGGCCAAATAGAGGAATGAGTGATAAACAGAATATTCTGCAAAGGCTGACATTTAGACTTAAGACTGTACAATGTTAAAGCTAGGTTAGTTTGTTTCCTGTGAGTAACGCCTGACTGATGATTTGTGTGTAGTACTGACAAAAAAAAAGTGAAGCCTTTTTCTAAATCTAGAAAAGATTAAAAACACACTAGGGGGTTCGGTGGACAGGTTCTGTACATACTTGGAACCTATTTTATAATTCAGTCATTCATTTATTTTCTTTTTGGCTTAGTCCCTTTATTAATCAGGTGTCGCCACAGCGGAATGAACCGCCAACTTATCCAGCATATGTTTTACACAGCGAATGCCCTTCCAGCCACAACCCACCAGTGGGAAATACCCATACACTCTTGCATTCACACAGATTTTAATTCACCTGTAGTGCATGTCTTTGGAAACCGGAGCACCCAGAGGAAACCCACACGAACACAGGGAGAACATGTAAACTACACACAGAAATACCAACTGACCCAGCCAGGGCTCGAACCAGTGACCTTCTTGTTGTGAGGCGATCGTGCTACCCACTGCACCACCTTGCCGCCTCGTATTTTATCATAATTTTAAAAATCTGAAAGAATTAACCTGCTGCTAAATAATATGTATATCTCTTTGTATCCACTTCATGGTGTTTTTTGGTTTTACTTTTAATTATCAGTTTCCTGCAAATTTTTATTTATTTATTTTTCTTCCCGTTATTTGTAAAAAAATAAAATGTATATCTTCTATCATCACTATTTCTTCATGACATGCACGACTCCAGACTGTTTAATTATTGTATTTGAACAGTTCTTGGAGTGGGACTCGGATTTAAATAAAAAAAAAACAGAAAGAAGGATTGTAATGTATATATGAAAACGTTATTTTTCTTCAATAAAAAAGAAAAAAGGTGAAGCCTACCTGAGCAGCCATGTCGATGAGCGTATTGATGGGTATATCACTTCCTTCGGGAGTTTTCAAAAAATCCACCAAGCTGCCTGAAATTAGAGTCAGAGGGATATTTTCAACTCGATTGTGTCAAAGATGTAAAGCATCAAAGCAATAAACGTATAAATTAGCTTAGATTTCTAGATTTTAGAATGTGTCCCAGTTTATTTTTATTTATAATAAAAGTTTAATTTAGTAAAATGTCTTACTTTACCACTATCCTTCAACCCACTTCAAGTTTCACTTTTTAGCCATCAAGAATAATCATTTAAATATCAATATAAAAATATTTGATCAGTAGCAACATTACAACATTTGGTATCAAATCTCAGCAACAAAACGTTTTAATGTTAACTTCTAATATGCAAGATTTAAGTATGATTCTTTTTAATATATATTATTTCCATCAATATAGTGAAATTTTAAACATTTTAAACTACGCTTTACTTGCATTTTAACTATGCACTGTAAAATTGTAAAATTATTAACATGTAAAACTAAATTTCCTGAAGCAGATTTCAGTTTTGATCATACAATTTCCAAAACAATGATGAATTAGCAAGAGAATTTCAGCCTCCAGCATGCACTTTGATGTATTACACGAGAAGAATACCCTTAAAAAATGGCTTTGTTTTGTTTTTTTCAAAATTGTATTTATAGTTTGTATTTCTTCAGTCTTCAGCATCCTTTTTAAAAAACTCTTCAACCACAACTGAATGTTACCGGAAGCTCACTCTCTCCATCAGTCATTTTGGTTCAAAGGCAAAAGGAAACAGCAGATAGATGAACGCTGTTGTTTTGGTGCTTAAATCGTTCTCTAAGCTCTTCTTAGAGTTTACGAGAAACTCAAACAACAGCACAGAGATTAGATCCAAGTACTAGAACAGAACAGAACAACTTCAGGAAACTAGTGCAGCCAGTTTGGATCAGGCTCTGAGACGCGTGGTGTTAAAGGCCAAAGTTGTTGCTTTTGAGACGACTGCTTGCATTGGAAAAAATAACCAACTGACCCTGAAGGAAATTCCCACAAAGGTGCAGCGGAAAAATAACCCCGTTAGGAACTCTATTAACAAGCCCGCTATCACTTCGCTTTCATCTCAGATCGCATTAGGGTGTAAAATTCAAGGTCGTGGGTTAATTTTAGATGAAGTTCCCATGTTTTGAATCATTCTGTCACTGTCTCCATTGTTAAAATGACAGTGGGATGGAAAAGGGCACAACGACCTCTTCTTTAAAAATAACAACACAGCAACAATTGCAGGTTTAAACCAATTGCACACATTCCTAAATAAAGCATTAGGAGATTAACAAGCTGAGCGTATAGTGTCCTATCAGCTTCCTTGAAGAATACAAAGCACGGCCATTCACGAGCTGTGCCTCTGACGTTCTAGTAACACTGCTGTTCCTCTTAGAGTCTTTTGTTTCCATTGGCATCTATATGACATTCTGGAGGCCCTGCAATCCTCTTTGGGGCAATGAGAGTGACAAACAATCCATACTGGGTTACATGTAGAATAATATGCATCTGAATACGCCTATATTGACCAACTGCTATTGTTGCATTATAAGAGGAAAAAAACGCGGGTGTGGAGTTTTGTGCGCACCTGTGGCCACAGTTGACCATTTATGAGTTAGTTTCTGGGTGGTTGGCTGTAAATTGGAAGGCAGTCCTTATACTTGCCTATGGAACAAAGAGCTTTCACTGTATCTGCCCTTTTCCCTGTTTGTGTGTCACTTCTTTTATGTGCATTCTGCCTCTCAGTCTCTTTTTAATGTGATGGAATCCACGCTGTAACTGTGAGGTTGCATATGTAGAAGTTGCAGTGAGATGCGGTTTGTCTGTAAGGGGTTTAATATGTGTTATGGTTAGAGAAACATACAAAAACTGAGCTGAATGTATTAAGATGTTGTTGCTGTTGTACGCTAAAACCCAACAGTCAATGTTATCAAATGAAATGAGTGTAGTTAAACCAAAATTGACTAAAAGTTAATTCTACTCATTTGAAAAGAGTTTTGAACTCCCTGTTGAAGGTAGTTAATCAAGTTGAAGTTAATATAATACCTCATTACTTTAACTTAAATGGAGCAAGTTCACAGTACTCAAATAGATTATGTTTTTAAATTAAATGGTTTGTGGTAATCGGATTCCTCAAATGGTTTGAGTTGCCTTCACTTTTTGGATTTTACAGTGTAGTTGTAGATTTGTTTGTTGGGTTTAAAAATTAATTAATGTTCAATAAATATTTATTCAATTTAATTCAGTTCAAGTTTATTTGTATAGTGCTTTGGAAGCACAAGCTCTGGATGACATCCACATGAGTGTTTACAACTAAACAATATTATAGAATCTCAGACTTTTAAAGAAATGGATAACCTAGAATTTTTCTCAACAAGTTGCTTTAAATGTGTTTTCTTTCAGCGCCCTCTGAAATAGACATTTTGATGAAGTTTTAACTGTAGTTCAGTACACAATACAGTAAATAGAGAAAAAACATTGTCAAGCTCCAAAAATCTAAATAAAAAAAAAAAAAGATTTTTGTTAATTGATGTATTGAGCTTAACGACTCAGTCAAATTGGTTCTGTTATAAGTAAAAGTAATAAAACATGTTGTTAAAGACATAGTTTAACCAAAAAATGACCCCCAAGACATCCAATACTGTGGGTGACTTTTTTTTCTCTCGGTAGAACATCAGAGTGTATTTTTAGCTGAAACCATGATCCTTAGTGAATCAGTCTAAAATCGTAAATCGCAAATCGTAAATCGCAAATCGTCTAAAAACCTATAGGCCTACAGGAAAATTCAAATGAATGCATGACTCTAGTGGTGTAACGGATCACAAATCTCATGGTTTGGATCACATAATGATTTTTTAGTCACACATCAGACCGTTTTTCGGGATCAGCACAAAAAGGGGAGAAGAAAAAATGTAATTTGCTTTCCATTTATTACAAAAACAGTACTGCAAGACACTTTTAGTTTTAACAAACAGAAAAAAAAAAAAACTAAATAAAGAAATAATCAGCTGAATAAAAATAAATGGTAAAATATTCAGTACTGTGAAAAATTCACTGTTACTACTACTGTTGCTGATGACTCTTAATGTAGAAATCTAACATTAAAATTTGTACAACCCATATTTATTTCAAGTGTTCTCATTTTGAATAAACGATTCAGTTATACACTCATAAAACTTTCATTGCTAGATGTGTCATTTTTGAAGAATTTTTCAGTGGCATATTTTTGATGGCTGGTTGTTGCCACTTATTGGTTAAATAATGTAATACCTGCCTACAACTATCCTTTTTGAGTGTTGTTAAATGCTTATCACGGTGATTTTAATCTTTACCATAAGCATTGGTAGTTTTATCGAAACTATAAACTGTTATCTTAGTACTTCTGCGTTATTAGACTGTAACTTTATAACTAACTGAATGCAGTAATTTGAAGTATAAATAAACATATGCAAATCACCATAATTTATAATCTATGTTGCGTAGTTGTTGAGATCCCGAACTTTTAATGATTAATTATGCAGGTTACACTGAATGCACTAATGCAGGCCAAACAAGAAGTGACAGAAAACACCTTTAATGAAACCCACCACATCCTGAATAACCAACCACAACTTTCTGTCATCATTTTATTTTAAAGTAAAGCCTAAATGCAATCATACATCCAGTAAAAAATATATTAATCCGTGGGCCACGTGTGTTCCGAACCATGGGTTGTGATCTGAATGTATTACAGATTAACAGTGTTCCATTACACCACTGCATGACTCCTAATGATACATTAAGGTCTTATAAATCAAAACAAATGGTCTCTGGTAAAAACTGTTACAAAATTGTCCTGTTGATCTATAATTAAAGGTAATAATGTTATAAATAATGTTCAGTTTCTTGCACAGGTAATTTTGCTTCATAAGACCTCAATGGTTTGCTGAGGAAGAAAAGTCACTGAATATCCTGAGGGTAAGGATAGATTTTTATTTCTGAGAAAGCTGTTACTTAAACCACATATGTGTTCCACATTAGGAATCATGTGGATTTGGCTTTATGTTAGTTTTGGATGAGATATTTGTGACAGACACTGGTTTTAAAATGAGGTACAATGTTAAAAGAGCAGAAATCTAACAAAACATAAGTACTTCATATATTCAGAACTGAAGTGGGTCATGTTATGTTCTAGAGCAGTCAAGGTGGGAATGCCACAGATGAAACACAAGCTCTGGATGCCATTCACAAGAGGGTTACAAGAGACGTCAGAACCGCTTGCTGAACAATGACAGGCATGAATCAGCATGTCTGATTAAACACAGGCCTTTATAGAGGAATAAACACCACCAGGGGTGTAACTGGGAAACATGCCCCCAAAAATGTTTAGAAATACGTTGTTCAGATTAGTTTTTGAGATTTGACTTTTTAAGTCTTCAACAGCATACATTTGTACAATTTGTTCCTCATTTAGTCTTATGTTTTGCAAAGATCAACTTCTGAATGGTGTATATTGTTGGTAAATGGCAATTTTATGAGTAAACAGGCAATGTCAGGTTTGTGTTTTAACAAAGATATGTGTACAGGTAAACTTAAAAGCTTCATAGCTATGCATTTTCTTATATCAGAAAAAGATGGAAAAACACTGAAAACTAAATACTTATGAAAGGTCAATGAGGATGTTTAATGCTGCTCTGTTGAAAATCATTCATGTGAGAGAGGGATGCAAATTCAGACATCTTCACTATCTTCAAAACTTTGTTTTCATAGAGGGAACACTAGTGCGGAATGGCTGTGGGCTTAACACACACAAACAACTCCGAAAGTGCTCACGCTCCTGAAACCACTCAAACCTGTTGGGTCATGAAACCCTGATGAAAGTTTTATTGGAAGTTTGCTCAATGAGCGCGAGTGTGTGTTTTGTAAAGGAAGTTCAGACGGGACGCATGAATGAATCATTTAGTTTCAGACGTGACTGCTTCGTCATATTATGGAACTCATTTTTGGGTCTCACCGTTCTCCATGTACTCGGTGATGATGTAAATGGGCTCCTGCGTGACCACAGCGAACAGTCGCACCAGTCGAGGGTGCTGTAGGGACTTCATAAGGTTTGCCTCAGCTAGGAAAGCGCTGATGGACATGGTACCAGGCTTCAGACTCTTGATAGCCACTTGACGGTTGTTGTTATATAGCCCTATAAGCAGAGAGAGAGAGAGAGATAATAAATTGGCTTATTTTTAATGGAATTTCTGTCATCAAGTTTCTCATGTCACTGCAAAATTACGTCTATACAGTGTATTGTTTTATTTGTCCCTAGCAATAAATTGATGGATTGAACAATTCCAATATAAATGCAACCACTGTTGTTGTAATTTTGGGTGTGGTTACAATCTGTTAACAGAGCTGAACCTCAACCTACAATTTTCTACATTTCCAAGTCACTTTTAGTAAATGTTAGTAAAATAACAGCTTTAACGCTGTTAAACTAGCAGTATAATTTTCCAGTTTTTACTAACTTTCATTGAGAAGTCAATCTAATTTGACTAAAACCCTAGAACAGCAGGGTGCCCAGATGAAGGCCAAAGAGATGATCCTTTCAGGGAAAGAGAAGCTGGTTAATCCAAATCTGTTTTCTAAAATATTTTGTCGTTACAATGTCATTCTCTCATTAAGGTCCCCTAAAATGCTGGTCATTCACAAAAGGCAAATGCATGAGAGGATAATCGTCAGTAGAAAATCCGGTTTGGAATTCTATATATAGCCCAATTAATTTTGTTTAAGTTAAGATACCTAGGCATATTTGAATAAAAAGAGTTTAGTATGTGGAAATGATATACTGTGAGCCCCAAACACCATTGTTTCCTCATTCTCAAATAAATCATTAAACAAAATATCACAAAAACATGTGAATCAGATCATATCACAGGCTAAACACTGATTGGCCACAATGTTTTAAAGTGAGATTACAACAATATTCAAAATGTTTCCTTCTAAGTTTAAAACAGGATATTAAATTTGCTATGTATTTGAGTCTCTAGTTTTGAAAACAGAACAGGCAGTCAGCAGCTCTCAGCTTTCAGGTAATGCAACAAGTAACTTACGGTTAATCTCATCTCAGCATAGCTTGTCAGAACACTAAATTCAGCAAAGACAGATTATAAATTTATTCAGTGCATCCTTGAATAGCATGAAGTCTGTTTAGTATGTTTATTTAGTTTAATTCTATATAGTATTAAGTCTATGTTTTGAACGTTTCTGTGTACTTTTTTAATGTAGCAACAGACACTTTGCATGTTTATTCATTGGATCTTATCATTCAGTTCTTAGTGATTTTTCTGGAGGACAGCAGTAAGTCTCAAAACCAAAGTTTTATCGGGTGTTATTATAATTTAGACTACATTTCATCCACAACACAACTAGGTTGGAGCAAACTAGGTTGCTTACAGAGCTCACTCGCTTCAAGGTAGCATGACTTTCTCCAACACTTTATTTCAAACGATTGTCATTTCATAAGGCATCTAATCAGTTTGTTTAAATATTTTTGACACTCTGAAATATTATTTTGCATGTGTATTTTAGAGTTCATCACAATGTGTGAATGTCAGTGACTAACATGAGCTAATAAAATGATATGACAGAGCTCATTAATATTCATGAACCTTCCAAATAAGGTCAAATAATTTTATTTTCAGCGCCAATACTTAGATTTGTAAATTAACTTTTTTTTTTTTGCAAAGTTTTCGCATATGAGAGATTTATTTAAACATTTGGTGTGCATTCTATGACACCTTTAAATTTATTGTACAAACAAACTACTATTTGAAATAGCCACAAAGTTTTAGGCAACACTATAATAAGATTCTATGGTTCAACTGTAATTAAAAATATTTTATTCTATTTTATTCTATTCTTAAAATCTAAGCTGTTAATTTTGATTTCTTGTTCTTTAGTATTCCACAGAAGAATTATGTGGGTGCGTGAATGATAGCAGACTTCTGAAACTTATAAACTCTCTATAACAAATAAGAAACCATGGGAAAAAAACATGCTACTTCTCATTGTGAGAACGATTTGCTATAAGGGTGTTTGCTCAGTGCTTCTTTGGGCCTGATTTGTGTGATGTTATCAGCAATGAGAATCACTGAACTTTAATGAATGGAACATTTCATTACATGTAATGCTTCTTTCATTTGAATGAGGAAAGCTATTCACTGCTCAACAAAATGAAGCTATGATGCGGGCTCGCACGGTTATGGAGTTTTACCGGTGTGAGAGAAACAAGTGCGTTGCTACAGCAATAAGGGACAGGAAGTGGTTTAAACTTAAAGGTTTGAAGTGAACTTTATGAGTCTAATTTTAGAGTCAGCACAACACAAGTGTAATATCACTGCTGTTGTTTGAATATGCTTGAAAACTGGACATAGTTAATAGAGAAATATCTTCTCTGAATAAGATCATAAAAATCAGAAATGTAGGCCATATATAATGAATGATGTTTCTCTAATCACAAAACTAAGTATAAAGTTTGGTAACTAAACAAAAACATAACACATAATATTCCCATTTAAAATACAATACTAAATAACTACACTGTGATTTAAGTTAAAATGCTTGCATAAAATAAAGACTAATATTTTTACCTCACAAACTGTTTAGACAATACATTTTTCACTGCATATATCCATACATCACAAAAAGAGTCATGTTTATTAAGTATTACATATTATTACAATCTTCTGTTTTCAAAAAAAGGTTTAGGAAACAAGTATTTTATTAAAAAGAAATACTAAACTAAATAGTCTGTCTTTGCATTTGAATGTTGCGTTTGATTCAAAAGTGTTCTGAACTATGCAGTGTAATTATACTATATTAGCATACTGTCATTTCAAAAACAATGCAAGAATTAGATGCTTTATTTCCATTAAAGACTTAGAGAGAGACTTGTTCATGCTTTTATCAGCAGCAGGGTGGATTACTTTAATGGAATCCTCACTGGCCTTCCCAAAAACACAGTCAGACAGTTGTAGCTCATCCAGAACGCTGCTGCCAGGATTCTGACCAAAACCAGAAAATCTGAGCAAATCCCTCCTGTTTTCAGGTCTTTACACTGACTCCCAGTCACATTCAGAATAGATTTTAAAGTGTTATTATAAATCACTAAATGTCCTAGGACCTCCGCTGCTGGAATAAGCTTCCAGAAATGATAAGATGTGCACCAACATTGGGCACATGTAAATCAAGACTGAAAACACATCTGTTTAGCTGTGCCTTTACTAAAGGAGCACTGTGCTATGTCTGACAGATCCTACTGTTTTGCCTTCCCTTTCTTTTTCATTCTCTTATAATCAGTTCAATGCATTTTAATCTTTTTATATTATTAGTTTTTATGTTTTTAAACTTGTCTCTTTTATTTCTGTTAGTGTGAAGCACTTTGAATTGCCACTGTGTTTTTTAACGTGCTATATAAATAAACTTGCCGTGCCTATTAATATTTATAAAAGTGATCTAGAGTGAGTTTGGATGACTAGTACCATTATAATCTATGCTTGAGATATTTGTATTCTGTTTTATCTGTAAGAAAGAGCCTGATCTTACAGGTTTGTGTGTATGAGTCCCTTAGATTACAGGATGAGCACCACAAAATTGCTAAATCTGCTCATTTTGAGGGCTCAATCAGTCAAATGTTCCAACAAGCTTACTGTATTTACCGTTCCGACATGCCAGGTGGTCGGCGACACTCATTTGTATTCTGGTAAAAGCAGAATATACACACCACACAAGCCTGGAGATGCCTGTTTATCTATAACCATTCATGATAGTCCAATTCTTAATGTTTGCTTGCAAAACGTTTCCAGACAAGCACAGGCAGACCTGGACAGGTGCGACACCTGGATGCTGTAATGCATTTGTTTTGTTTGTCTTTGTTTAAAAAAGTCTTTCTTACTAAACTTACCACACATCAAAAACAAGGCTGTGTGGACTAAAATAATTGTTCAAGAGTTTTCTTTTTTCATGTTATAGAAAGAAAATGATTTGGGGCTTCACAAAGAACTGATTTGTGTTTTGTGTTTTTTTTTATGTGTGAAGGACATTTTTTAAAACTAAAGCATTTTTTCCACTGTATAGAGCTCTGTGTGACATAGATGGGTGTTTTGGCTTTGAGTTGTGACATTTACATTACACTGAACTGACCTAGACTGAACTTCAACTCTAAAAACTGGACTGACACAATTTTAATTTAATAGAACTTTGATGTTAAACTTCTTGACACAATCTACATTGTTAAAGCACTAAAGAAACAAAGATGAATTGAGTTTAATTTTTTATTAAAGTTTTTCAATGGAAGCATCAATGTCAGTGAAGAACATTTTTCACAAATTGTGCTGGGTATATAATTGTGTTAGTTGTATGTGCATGTATGTGATGGTTATTTTATTATCACCTAAGAACTTGTGAAGAGCTTAAATGAAGGCACATACATCGCAACTATCGAGAAAAAATGATGTCTTTCTTATTGATGCATCTTATGACATTTTTTTATTCATGTTGTTGCTTTTGGTGTTGTCTGACTGAACGATGCATTCATTATGAACTAGAGTTTGTTTAGCATTGGACTAAAACCCATTTTTCTGGAGTCTCTATCCTGTTGTTTGGTGCGCACTGTGTGTGCGCTTTTTTTTCTTTTTATAAAGTCATGTTATGTAAACCTCCAGCTTATCTTTGTACTTTTTTGTCTTAGTTCTAGCAATTACCAGCTACGCCCTTCTAAGTGTTTGCTTTTTAATATACCTTGAGTTTGTACAGAGCTGGGAAAAACAGCATTTTCTTATTGTGCACCTTGGTCATAGAATAATTAGCAATAGAAACTTAAAACTAAAATAAATGGACAAAGTCTGTCCATAAGTATTTATGGAAAATTATAATTTATGTCTATTGTCTAGAAAGAATTCATTAGCAACTACCTGAGGCACCAGGACAACAGGATCACCATTCTCAAGAGCACACACACTCACACATTCATCTTTATAAGAATAACAATTTCCATTTAGTTTTGATTTAGTAAACAGTGGTTATGGTTCTGGGGTTACTGGTAGCCAGGGCCTAGGGGTGCCTCAGTATGACTTCTTTTAATGGTTCACATTATGCTTTTCGCTCATCACAAGTGTGTTTCAGCTAAAATATCTTAAAGAGGACCTATTTTGCCCCTTTTTGCAATATGTAAAAGAAGTCTCTGATGTCACTAGAGTGTGTATGTGAAGTTTCAGCCCAAAATATCTCACAAATAATACACAATAACTCTTTGAAACTGCCCCTTTTACACTTTGATTCAAATTGTGCCATTTTGTTAACTGTTGCTTTAAATTCAAATGAGATTGTGCAAGGGGGTGGAGCTACAAAGGCTTAGTATCTACACTATAGCAGCAGATTAAAAGCTGTAATGGCAGATGGCTGTTTATGCTAATGAGGGAGAGATCATCTCTAATAGGTGTGGTCTGGGTTGGCCATCTGGCAATTTTGGCAAATGCCAGAAGGGCCGGACCATTGTTTAAATGTGGGCCAGTCAGTTTTTAATATTTTTTTTTATTTCTAGCTTCTTTGAGTCATTCACTATTAACCAAAATATATATTCTGACATAAGGGCTCTGCAATATATCATCAGTGGAAGGCATAGGACCAAAACAATTTCATTCAATGTAAATTTTCAGGCCAAACATTATAAAAAGGCCATCTACCTGCCTATCAAAATGTGGATTTGCATATTTCTGAGCACAAAAGTCATGTTATCAACGTGTTCTTACTATGCACAGGAGCGGACTTATATAATAAGCGAGGTAAGCAACCGCTAAGGGCCCCTAGGAAAATAGGGGACCCTGACCAATGCCAAGAAGCCTATATTAATCATCCTAAAGCTATTTTATAATTTTTCTATAATATGTTGTAAAAATCTGATATGATATTTTTTTCTAAACCAGGGGGCCCCTTAAATAGTGCAACATTCCTTTCACACTGCACATGCAAATATTGACATTTAATTACAAGTGTGGCTAATTAACTGTATAGTTTGTGAATATATTGTAATTAATTTTAAGTTAAAAAGGTTCCACTTAAAATAAATATTTAGCATGCAGTTTATTTACAAAAAAATCTGTATCTAGAAAGAAAACAAATATTTATAAAGAAGGAGAGTGTTTTGAGTTTCAATGCTAGGGTCTCATATATGGAATTGCTTAGGGCCCCAAAATCACTAAGTCCGACCCTGACTATGCAGACTAACAGGGTGCGTGTGACCACCAAAGCATCTGAAAAGCAGCTCAGCTGAATACTTGAGAGCTGTTCTGCAGTGCTGCATTTACCTTAAAGTAAAATTTTCTCCAACTGCTTGTTTAAAAATGTTGAAATTGCGGGAAAACAGCGCCTTGTCACACTGCTGGTGTTCTGAAAAAATTCAGCACTCATTGAAATCAACAGAAAAAATGCATGTGCCTTGGGGTATAATGCTTTGGTGGACAAGCACACGTGTTGCTAGTGTAATATGCCTGTTGTAATGTATTCTGATTGCTTAATGAGACATGAGGTAATTTCTTTCTCATTTTGTCACTTCTGGTCTCGGGTCTAACATTACTATGCATTACTTACTACTATGCCTGTGTGCATACATGTGTTTTGGAGGAGGCGTCGCTTTGGTCAACAAATATACAGGTCTGGCAGGATCTATAGCTTAAACAACTTCTAGCTGATTTTAAGTGCCGTACCTTTACATCTACAGAACGATTGAGAAAACACTGCTTAGTACTTACCCATCCATACTTCTCCAAACTGCCCCTGCCCCAGTCTGCGCTCTAGTTTGAGAGACTCGCGAGGCACTTCCCACTCATCCTGCCACCAGGGTTTTTGGGGCGCTCTGGTCTGACACGGTTTCACCAGCCGAGTGCACAGTCCATCAGCTTCTCCTACACAGAGAAAGATAAACAGACAATGACACTTTTCTACCACACTACAATTAATAAATAATGAATAAATTCTGAAATTTTCACTAAAGTCTAAAAGCAAAATAACCTGACAGCAAATACATGTAAGGCACAAATGAACTCTTGAACATACGTGAATAATGTTTGACAAGCTCTGATAGGGAGTTGAAGGAGATCTTGTTGGTGATGTAGAATCCACCTGCGTCCATGTTGCGGATCCTGTAGTGCTTGATGATGTCCCCCTGCATTGGGTCCAGGTCTCTCACAGAGATGGAGAAACTACCTAAAGCACCAGAAAACAGGATCATCATTTGGAGTCAAGAGCACATAAACTCACACCTCCACCTTTAAAAGAATGACAGTTTCTAGTTTGAATTTCAGAAACTGGTTATGGTTTTGGGGTTACTGGTGGCTAAGCCCAATGTTACTTCAGGATGACTAAAATATGTTTTAATGGCTCATATTATGCTTTTTTCAATATTTTATGACTCTTTAAAACTGCCCTATTTAGGCCTTTATCCAAATTGTGACATTTTGGTGACTGTTGCTTTAAATTCAAATGAGATTACGCTCTTTTCAAGGGTGGAGCCATAACAGCAGATTACCCTTCCTGTTGTGTTCGGGTCAAATCTAACCGATTTACAATTTAAAACACTCATAAATATTCTGTTTTACATCTGATTGCCTCAAGATCCTATGATATTCTCCACACTATGCACTTAAACATATAATTGTTCATATAAAGTGATGATCACCTCTTTTGTTGAATTTTAAGAGTTTTAATCAACCTTGTTACACCTGTGCTGTTCCTGGTCAAAAGTGACCGACTTGGGAAATGAATGGGTATCCAGACTACATATTTAATCATCAGACAGAAAACATCCCCATACACACCACCCTAACTCTCTCACTCACTCACACATTTCAGACTGAACAATGTCTTTTGAAGGCAAGCATCTCCTTCCCACGACTATGTGTGGATCCATGCCTTTGTGATTACCTCCATTACATTACATGTTCATTTTGTAATACCCTTTCAGTGGTTATTTGTATTGTCACTGCAGTTGTTTTATGTCTAATTCTATAAATTCATGTTAAACACAACTTTGAGACGTTGTTCACGGATAAAGAATGTTAAATAAAAATTTGGTGGTTTTTATGCTAATTTAAGTGCAGTCCAAACAGACTGGTCAATTTTGACCGGGAACACTAAAGTAAGAGGTGTGAGGTGAACACGACAGAAGGGTTACGAACTCTTAATGGCAGATGGTTGCTTCTCACTCAGGGCTGTTTATGCTAATGAAGGAGAGATCATCACTTATGGGTGGGGCTTTCACTCTCTTATGACATGTACAAAGGTAACATGTCAATCAGATTGTTTCTGTTTTTTATTAAGTGTGATTTTTACCATTTTACCATGCTGGCTATATTCAAACACTGTTGTCACAACTGTTTAAACTGTGTACACGTTATTACCATGATTTTTGCATAATAGGTCTTCTTTAATACAAATCATTCATTATTCAATGCTGAATTCACCCTTTTTAATGTGGAAGCAAAAATGTGCTGCTTTTGTGTTGTTGTCTCTTTACGTGCAAAAAAAGTTGCTGCTCTCCGCCCTCTTTCCAGATAAGGGTTATAGTTCATAGGCGCACCAAAAACACGAGTTCAGGTAATGTTGCTTATGTCTATTATTAACAGTCGCATGTGTATCTGTATATTAGATCTGTAAAACAGCATTTCTTGGACAAGGAATGGGTGTTAATTATTTACGTTTGTAATATTGTGACATACGTTCCGAGAAGCAAGCTCAGGACTACATTTGAGGGAGTTCAGTACTTCTTTGTTTCTTACTAACTAGCATAATATTAGTCTTTCAAAGTAATAAATATATTCTCTCACTCACTTATGTGAATGACCTGAACAGCTTTACTTTGTGTGAGATTTCCTTGAGCGAGAATAAAGTAGACTGAAACTTTCTGTCATACACGACACCCACCAAAAGGGTAGTGGAAACATAAGCCTGATGAAGGTGACCCGTACCAACTCGTACCATACTGTACCCTACCAGTCAGTGGATATGGGCCAGTACATTTGGCTTATTCCCTTCTTGTATGAATAACTTGTACTTAAATGTATTAATGTCTTTCTAATCTTACTTAAAATGCTAAAAAACAAAGCATAAAATCCAAGCATACCCAAAAATCACATTTATTTTTAATTGGATTCATTACCATACAGTTCAAACATCAAACAAAATAAAAGTAACCTAAGCAAATTATTTGTTGTTAATTAATATAATAATATATGGTAGCACTTTAACTGACTATAAGAAACTTTGCAAGTACATGTCAACTAACCCCAACCTAACAGTCTACTTATAATCTAATGAGATATAGCTGGCATGTAGATGCAATGTAGCTTAAATTCAACGAACCATCAAAATAAAGTGTGACCTAATATATTTATTAAGATATTAATAATAACTAATATGCAAAATTACATAACAATGCTAATGCATTAATTATAGCTGAGATGAGCTGGGTATAGAATTGAAAAAGCAGAAATGCATTATTTATATCATTAATAATATGTCTTACTGTTGTTTATTTATAAAAATTACATAAATTTTTTACATTTAGTTTAACTTTCATATTTAAATCTAGAAAGATATCAAAGCCATAATGTGATAGCACTGTCAGATGTGCCCTTATAATACTGTACATTTTTAGTTTGTTGTTGTTGTGGGGAAAAGTGCAAGGCTACCTGGCTGCGTCTCGCTCTCTCTGATGAGAAACGAGCCCTGTGTGTTGCCAGGAGCCAGTAACTGCCTCATGGCGTCATTCCTGGAGAGATTTTTATAGAACCACCTGCAACACAACGATGTCATTTTATTAGAGTTTTCACTTCATTTGAGTTACAGAAATTCAGACTTGGTGCTTTTCACTCCTCCCACGATTGGAAGAGAAACATTCACAGACTGGAACTTAACGCAGAAATGTGGTGTCAGCAGCTACTGCAGTGGTTAAACATAGCGATGCTCAGAAACGTGTGTGTTTTGTGGGAGTATTTTTTTTTCTTTACTGACTTCTTGATCATCTGTCTTCATAAGTGGGTAAGGGGTATCCTAAGTGAAACATTTTAGCCACTGAAGTGGGTGGTATTTCCCAGACGTCATTCTGATGATTTCATCTGCATAAATACATTTAATTGTGTGTATTTGTTTGGGTGTATGTGACTGTATGCGAGTGAGCATTGCATTACTTACGGTTCTGTCTCCATGCTGTTCAGTTTTGCTACAAAGTTCTTTGGTATGTAACCCCTCTGGCCGGTGAACAGAGACTCCGCCATGTACCATTCAGGATCATCACTAAGACACACATATTATATTTTAATTCAGGATAGTGCCTCTTCTTAAAACTACACAAAACATTAAAACAGATCTCTACCTAAAGTTGTGACTTTTAATTCAACCTTTATTTATTGAACCATGTAAGTCAATTAAGAACTAGTTCTCATTTCCAATGACGACCTGGCCAAGAGCAACATAAAAAGCAGACATGAAGCAGCAGGGACACAATACAATAACAATTTTACAAATGCAGATAATAACATTTAAACAAATCACGGAAAAACTAAAAACAAGGTCAGTGATCAGGTACTATTGACTGAAATTCCCAATAAGAGTTTTGTAAATGAACAGAAACCAATGAATTTGTTGATGCGATTCAAGAGAAGCCCAATTTGATAAAAATATAGTTGACAACTTCATAAAAAGGCTCTAGGTTGTGATGAATTCTTTTGTATTTTGTGACCTTTTCTTGCCAGCTTGGCTACATTTTGTTCGAAGTTACACTGCCACAACTGATTTCCTGAAAGTGATGACATTCTGTTGCTTGATACATCTCAGAACACACAGTCACATGCAAGAGATACAGCAAATGCAACACATCTCATGGCAATTCGTAACCTTTTGATTTAGTGGCCAATTTACATAACAAAATGTAAAATAGTTAAGTTTCCTTGTAAGATCAGGCTGGCAAATTCTATTTACTGCAGTCATTTATCTGAAATCCACTAAAAAGCATTTGAATTTGAGTTCTACAATGCAAATGTTGTTTAAAGCCAGATAAAATAGTTCTGTTGTTCTCTACAACTCTGAGTTGACTCATTGTACATCATTAGGATCAGTTTAAACTGATTTTTGGTGGTTTTTAGTAGGGCTGGGTCAATAAACAATATTATATCTAATCACGATAAAATTTATGTCAATAACAATAAGCTCTAGACTTTTTTACTTTATATTGATCACACAGCAGAAATTTGTAGGAATCTAAAAGTGTGTTGATATTAGAGATGTACAGAATTTTCGGCCACCCAAAATTGATCAGCCGAAAATGTTATGCCATTTAATGGAACCTCTAATTTTTGTGGCTTCATAGTTGGTTTACTCTTAAATCTGTAAGCATTAACAACTTATATCAAAATATATATTGTTATTGTTCAACATGGAAAATAATTATCGAGATCGCATTTTTGCCATATTGCCCAGTCCTAGGTTTAGTGTAGTAACATTAACAGGATGTATTCGTAGAAATGTGGGATATACCAACACAATCTCACTGCAATTCTTAACTTTTTGATTTAGTGGCTAAATTCGTATACATTTGTACGATCTAATTCATACAATTTAGTACGATTTGCTCATCCCCCAATGACGGTTGGGTTTAGGGGTGGGGTTAGATGCCATGCCTCCTTTTTTAAATGAAACAATTTCGTACGACTGAACTCGTGAATTAGCCACTAAACTGGCAAAATGTTAAGTTACTTACGTTTTCTCGTGAGATCAGGCTGGATATACACATCAGATTAATGTATTAAATACATCAAAGGAGTAATAAATATAACTACTGCAGGTTTTTGTTAAACCATAGTTTTTTTTGTATGTTTGTATTTGTAATAAATTTTATAATAAATGTCAAATAACTTTTAAACTTAGGCTACCTGATAGTGAGATTGTTACAATTCTGGTCATTGTAATCTACAAAGATCAATTCACATACCTGCTAACTTGAGCTACTTTCAGATATAAATCTCCAAAAGACAGATTTTGTAATATAATTCTTATTACATGTGAAGTATTTTGATGCAAAGTCTGAAACTTTTTCCTAAAATGAGCATTTTTCTTTGAGCATTTTATGTTTATGTTCAGTTATTTCAGCGATGAGGCAATGAAATAAATGTAATATTAACCATAAAAGTGAATTTTTTGATAAACCTTAAAAGTTTTATTTTAAAAACGAAACCCACGTGTTTGGGTTTGTTCATATTTTAAGTTTGGCTTGAGACAACCTATAATTTATACTGTTGCTTTTCGTTTGTAAGGTTTTCATTTTAAAATTATGTAGTATCATATATTATTCACCATAAAAGTGAATTTATTGGACCGACACACGGCACTTGTTGATGCAGGTTTTTGCATCTGAACTCTTAAATCTACTTGTGCAGAGCTACTAAATCAGGTGTTAATACTATATACACTCAAAAAAAAAAAAAAAAGAAACATTTGTGCTGCTTGTTCAATTTACTTATTTAAAATAAGTTGAAAAACATATTTATTTTGTGTTTTTGGGAAAATCTTAATTTTTTTAATGCTCAATCTACTTAAATTTATTAAAACGATTAAGTTAACTTAATCGATTTGTGTTGGGACAACATGAAGTACTTGTGTGGAACCCAGCTATTTTTACAGCGTATGCAGGTCTACTGTCAGCCTGATGTAGCATCAATCTTACTTACCAGTCTAGGATTTTCATCTTCTCCCCTTTCTCAAACCCCAGGTCGTCACTGTGGGCTGGATCATATTTGTATATGGCCACCACCAGGTTCTCTGCAAAACATATATGATAAGAGTTTGATATGCCAAGCTTCATTTAACAGCATATCCGTGGGAAATCAGCTCACCTGGAAGAGGAGATGATGGTGGAGGTGTATACTGAGATGGATATGGAATCAGAGGATCAAAATTCTGTGTGATAAAACATAGGGAATGATGTCAAAACCCCAAACAAATATGGTGACTGTAAAGCACACACCATTTAGCTGAGGGTAGCAGTTATGAGTATTTGGTTATGGCTAGCAATTTCTCTTTATGAAATCAAAACCTCAATATATGGCTTCTTTAATCAATGTCAATAATGTCATAAACAGCGCAAAGCCACTTCCCTAAACAGGGTGGAGCTCTTCTCATTTTCTTCTTTCACAAGCAATAATGAAAGCACCACCAAAGTGAGAGTAAACATTCCACCACTCTGATTATGCCATAAACAGCATCTGTTGTTCTCCTTATTTCCTAAATGACTTTAATAAAAGCAAATCGCAAGGAAATGTGTTTTAAATTTAGCTAGATATTTCAGTACCCGATTGATTACCAACACAAAGGCTCGTTTCCTTTAAGTTGTGTAAGCTTTAGTGGGTTGACCTGTCTAAAGAAATGGCTCAGTGGTAGGAACTGACAAAATAATTTTTAATTAGTTTTTTTTTTTACTTGTCTTTAACAGAAATGTGCATCCAAATTGTATTTAGAATATTAAATGCTTAAAACACTTTTAAATTGACGTGGTGGCGCAGTGGGTAGCGCTCACCTCACAGCAAGAAGGTTGTTGGTTCAAGCCTCGGCTGAGTCAGTTCTGTGTGGAGTTTGCATGTTCTCCCCACGTTTGCGTAGGTTTCCACTGGGTGTTTTGGTTTCCCCCACAAGTCCAAACGCATGTGTATAGGTGAATTGCAAAAGCAAAATTGTCCGTAGTTTATGAGTGTAAATGAGAATGTATGGGTGTTTCCCAGTGATGGGTTACAGCTGGAAGGGCATCCACTGCGTAAAACTTGTGCTGGATAAATTGGCGGTTCATTCTGCTGTGGCGACCCCAAAGTAATAAAGGGACTAAGCGGAAAAGAAAATGAATGAATGAATGAATGAATACACTGAAACAATGCGGCATCTGTTTTTAGTATCGTGTTAAGAAACTGAGGTTGTGCTGTTTTAACACATTAGCGTGAGGTCAGTGGTCTTCCACATTTAGCTGATGGCTGAGATTATCGGTTTGCTTTAACACACATTCAAATTTATGTTATGTTTCAACCCAATTTTCTGTAAAATATTGATAATCCTTACATTTTTTTTATTTAAAATAGTAACCCACATGTTTGAGTTCATATTCTAAGTTTGGCTTGAGACAACCTAAACTTTTCAAAGGTTTTCTTCTTCACTCCTTTCTCAAACTTAAGGTCATTTAACAGTATCATAAATGGTTTTCAACTAAACTAAACAATGTTAAACATCAAGCATTTCAGACAGAGGGATTTCCTGCAATCACACACACTCTTAAGAATGCTGGGCTGTGAAAAAAATAGATTTAGGTTAGATAAAAATATAATAATAATTACCAAAATTTTACATTTTTGTTTATATTTAACCCAAACTAGCCTTAAAACCACCCAACTTTTTTCGAGCGCACATTCCATTTCGGTTTCATCTGATATTTTTTCAAAAAACGCTTTGTGTAGCACTTTGTGAGAGATCATTGTGTTTTGCCTTGTGTTATAAACCACAGACATTTGTAATGCATTTAGTTTAGAGAATGACTCCACCACTTCCTTTTGCTTGCTTCTCCTTTAAACACTTTTCTATCACTGTCACACATTACAGCCTGCCATTTCTCAACTGCCTCACAAACAGAAAACTAACACATTTTAAAAAGTTGGAAGATGATCATCTTCAGCTCAATGTGTGAATTATACAGTGTGTCCATGGATGGTCCTCTATGTTGGGTAAAGTTACTTCTAAAAGTAACCTATTACAATTTTAAGCCCAGCCAAGACGGAAAAAAACACAAAAAAAACATAACACATTACTTTCCTTAAAAAGACGTTAAGAACACGTTAATTAATAAAAAATAAAAAGTCACTGAAGATTTTAATAGATTACATTTAAAAGCAACTTTCCCCTTACAATGTTGATCCTACAGGAATTTTGAGGAGTGCAATGGTCATTGTCCTTCAATCCTATATCGTCACATCCCTAGCACAGTTGGCTAACCATTAGCTACCTTAATTAGCCTAAGTTAGCGTAAGAGTTTTTTTTTTTTTAATGTATATGTGAATTATAGAAAATAAGGAAAACACTTAGTGTGGTATGTTTTATCACGATGCTTCGAACTGACTGCTGTGAAGTGAGCGACTTCTTTGCACTAGTCATGTGTTTAGCACACTTGTGTTGGATACTCCCTTAATTGTATTTTAAATATGTATTATAAGTTGTAAATTATGATTAAGCTTCATGTTGCTTCGAGTAAATTATTTGAGTACACTGCCACAGATTTGCCTTAAGTTTGCCCTAAAGTTGCTCTAATAATTTGCTAAACCAGGATAGAATAAGGTGACATTATTCCCCTTACACCATCTAAAGAAATCTTTAACGTCTAAGAGTATTAGCAAGAGTATTAAAAGTGTAAGAGTATCAGCAGATTAGCAGTATTATGGTTGCACTGAAAGTGAATTCTGTATAGGTTTATATACACATATGGTTGTTGTTTATAAATGTACTGTATATGATCAAAATTGATGTTTTAAAATGCTAAGAAAAATAAGGAGACAATTATATGTTTTAGCGCGGTTTGTAAAAAACATACTTATTTTCTCACTTAAAAAAAACAGCATGATAGAAAATATATAGCTCTTTCAAACAGTGTCTTATTATTTAGTTGAGCTTTATAATTAGAATGATTTTTCAGTCATGTTGAGTGGAAGTTTTCTAAACCGGAAGTGGAAGCCATTATTTAAACACAGTACACACACAAACACAGATGCTCAAACACACACCTGACTGACTGGAGGCTTGGGGCAGTTACACTGGTCACACCATTCATCTGGATGGTAGGAGAATTCATCATCAGGATCAAAAGAGCCGCAGTTCCCCATGTTTACTAAGCATGAGAGAAAATGGTGCAACTATAAGAATGCTGACTGCGTTAGACATTAATCGGTGTATAAATTCAAGAGGAACTGATCTAGCACTTTCCAAACAATCCTAAATTAATGAGAAATAAATATGTTTTGATATTATTGAGTACTTTTCACAAGGCTTTTCCAAAAAGAGTCATGTAAAAATATATATTCAACTGAAAAGCTGATTAATAATAAATAAATTATATAAATATAAATAAATTATGCAATATGATAGATAAACATTAAGATAATCCTTAAGATTAAGACTTATAATCTTATAATTGGCTTAAAATGAATGATAAAACACAATACAAATGCATAAAACCTTTCCAATTATTATTTTAGACCTATTTATTATAGGATGGTGTCTCTCTCACAAAAAAAACAACATATTTAGGAATCGTGTAGTATGTAAACAATTGGAAACCCCTAATATAGGTCTGTGTGACCATTGTTTGTTGTAATATTCTGTTTTGATTTTCATTCCAGTAGCTGCATTCAATTATTTCTGTCAGATTTATCATGCTGTAACTTTCCGATTATTATTTTACACCCTTTTTTATAATAGGATAGTGTCTCTCTCGCTAATCAAAAAAAAAAAAAAAACGTTAATATTTTGGAATATTGTAGCACGTAAACAACTAAAAACCCCTACTCTAGGTCTTTGTGACCACCATTTATTGTAGTATTCTCTTTTGATTTTAATTCTAATAGCTACATAGATACAATTATTTGTGTATTTTTATCATACTGTGACCTTCCAATTATTATTTTACACCCTTTTTATAATAGGATAGTGTCTCTCTCGCTAATCAAAAAAAAAAAAAAAAAAACGTTAATATTTTGGAATATTGTAGCACGTAAACAACTAAAAACCCCTACTCTAGGTCTTTGTGACCACCATTTATTGTAGTATTCTCTTTTGATTTTAATTCTAATAGCTACATAGATACAATTATTTGTGTATTTTTATCATACTGTGACCTTCCAATTATTATTTTACACCCTTTTTATAATAGGATGGTGTCTCTGTCACTGAACAAAAATGATCATATTTTGTAGCGTGTAAACAATTGAAAACCCCTAATATAGGTCTTTGTGACCACTATTTATTGTATTATTCTCTCTATTATTCTAGTATCTGCATTCAGTTGTTTCTGTAAGATTTATCATGCTGTAAATGTCCAATTATTATTTTAGACCTATTTATTATTCGATGGTGTCTCTCTCACTAAACAAAAACGATCATATTTAGGAATGTTGTAGCGTGTAAACAACTGAAAACCCCTAATCTAGGTCTTTGTGACCACTATTTATTCTAATATTCTCTTTTGGTTTTCATTCCAGTAGCTGCATTCATTTATTTGTGTAGGATTTATCATACTGTTACAAAGAGGGAATTAACGAAGCATATATTTTCTGTTTTTTGAGAATAAAAAAAGAACCACAAATATTTATTTTATATTTAACGTTTAATAAGAAAAACCGCCGGGTAGGAAAAACAGTTCAGGTCCAGATCTGTTAAAGGAGGTTAATCCTCTTCATGAGTTCTAGACAAATTGTTTCCAACTCACACGCTGAGTTTCAGAGTGTTATTTGAATGAATGAAAAGATTAGGGTTACACTAAACACGTGTGTGTGTGTGTGTGTTTTATTCTTGTTAATATTGTATTTTGTGTTACGAACATGGAACGTTCAAAAAACAATCCACATATTTTTTTAGTGTGTGTCAAGATCCAGTGTAATGCTAATGTGTACAGCACACACATGAAAACACACAAGTCCAAGCGTTTAAATTGGCCATAAGCAGACACATAATCGGAGCTAATGTGCTAAGTCAATGTGTATGTCTCAGTGGGGTTTGGACTCGTGAGAAACTGTTGTCGGGTCAGGAAAAGCTGAACCCCTGGGTCAGCAAGAACACTGTGTGCCTCTGGGACTGTTTGGGAGAACAGCCTGAATCAAAGCAGGATCTCCAAACAGAGACAAGACTTTCCACTGACCTCCTGACCCTATCGGTAACAGTGCAAATTCATCTCTGGAGATGCACGACAAGGTCAGATGCTTTTGGTTCCGATGAAATATGCAGCACAGTTAATGTTTGCATGACATGGGCTGATCTTTTTCATCACTTACTGTAAATAATCGAGTGCTTGTTTTGTCTTCCACACCGTAAAAAATCATGTGAATGTGTATTTTAACAGAAATTGTAGCTTGTGATTAAACTGGTGTTTATTTGTACTTTTGAATTGCATGTTGGCATCTTGATCTCTGCTCCATCAACTTTTGATGTTGAAAATCGCACCGTAAAGAAATGTAATTCACGGCAACAAATGTTTTGTCAGTTGAACTTATAAAATAACCTAATAATATTGCAGCTTAATTTTTTAAGTTATGCAAGATTTAAATTAATGTTTTAAGTGAATTTAATGTGTGTTGAAGTTAATTTGATTGAACTTTTTAAAATAAGGAAGCCAGTTCTTTTTTAAAGTGCGAACTCTGCGGTTTAACAAATCAACTTTCGTTGATATTATTAGAGTTTATTTGACACTCTTTTTCTGGATTGATCAATACACAAAGATCATGTAATTAATTTCCAGTGCATTTTTTTTTAGAGTTTACAATAAAAAAATAATATCATATAGGGTGTATTATTGATGGCAGATGGTTCCGTGCTCCTTCAGGCCTCGGTTTTCTCCTGTTACAGGGGATGTAATTCTGTAGTTTTGAAATGAAGGCAAACAGATCGAATGCCTCTGAAATCCCACTGACAGAATCACAGGATTTTCATGTATTGCTGTGCACTGTCTCAACATCATGCTGGCGAGCAAACAGAGGCCAAGAGGTTGAGACACGAGGGATCAACTTGACTGATTCACACCAAACAGTCAGAGCCAAGCCAGTGCTTGGTATTCATATACCGAACCATATTTTCAGTGTTCTTTTTTAAACGTTTTTTAAACTTACCCTAAAGAATATATGAGTAAAAAGTAATAACTCATTAATACATTAACATATTGTGATGGAATGATTTCGATTATAAATAAAGTGAGTCAATTAAATCAATTTGGAAAGTGGCAGCTACTATTAAAATTTTATCTATAGGGTTTTTTCTTCAGAAATTCCCTTTATCAAAAAAATCCCACCAGTGTTAATCTATCAGCACTTTTCTGTGACTGAAGAAGAAAACGTTTTCTGTTTTATTGATTTAGTGTTTAATCGCAATATCAATCTGAAAGCAGTTATAGTACTGAATGAAGGCATACTTTTAATATTGTGAAATTTACTTGACTGATCTTACAGTTGAACGGAACAACATTGAACAAATCAAAACAATTAAACAAATTAATAAAACAAATGTAACACATTTTGATCGTTAAGAAGACAGTAGCATAATAGTGCTCCAAAAATTTTACTTTGAACATTGAAGAAATTCAAATTGAAATGATTTCAAGCCGAACACACTCAGGTTGACTTTTACATCACATATACGATAGTAATATTCGACCAATATGGAAAATTGTGCATAATGTTCACACATGTTTATATATTTAAAAATAAATCGCTTTATATACACATAGCGATTTTTAGTAATTATTATCATGTCTGTTTAAGACAGTTCAACATCTTTAGATTTCATTTTTTTTTTATTGATTTATTTAATCTTTAACTATCTCAGGCTTTCATTTATAAAGTTTCAACACACACAACTAGTATTTTTTTTACAAAATATACCATCTGAGAATCCATTTTAAGTGTTCTGATATCATCCACTCATCAAAACGAAGGCAAGAAAAGTTATCTCCTAGTTAACAAAACGTACCGTATTTTTGTCGACAGAAGACACGGATATCAATGCTGGGCCACTTCAGCAGGCGTTGCCATGTCCCATAACCGTTATCTTTCTACCAAGAACACATTACACCTCAAATTACAGACAAACCATCGAGATCTTCTTCGGCGTGTTTCAAAGACATGTGCTGCCAAATTGTAAAAATGTGTACGTCACATCACAGTTTTACTTCCCACCTTAAAAGAAGCACTTGATTTACAAAGGCATCTCTCTCTCTCTCACACACACTCACGCGCACGCTTGCACCACAGCGGTGCAGAGCAAGCTGATGATAGAGCTTCCTGTCGTTGAGGTGTTTGAGCTGATATTTAACATTTTTTGCAGCAGGTGCTCGTCGCTCTGAGCAGCTGCTGTCACTGGGGTGAAGGATTCTGGGTCAGGACTCCACTTGTCACCTGGTTTTGTGGCGCCATGATGTCAAAGAATGGAAATTTTTAACGGCACTCATGGGTTTTTGGCTTGTGCTTGTGCTGAAAAGAACTACAAAACACTCCATTTGCATATTCATTTACACTTACAGATGCTTTTATCCTTGTGTTGTATTGTGAATGCACTTTTTATCAATTCTTGATTTCCTTTGAAATCACCCTCACAACATTGGTATTGTTAACGCCATGCTCTACCAATAGAGCTACAGGAAGGCTTTCATGTGTATCATGCATTGCTATTACATGTTAGATTTGATTGTTCTGCTTTTTTCAGACAAAGTCACTGTTGTGTCAGTGCAGAGCTCTCTAGCTGCATCATTTCTAAGACAGACTGACGTTTTTTAAGCAGCTACTTGGATATAATGAAGACATCTCATGCCTCTCTTCATTATCTGTCTACTTGTCGCTCTCTCTGAGCAAACCGCACACTTTTGTTGTGGCATCAGGCTGCAGATACTGCATGCAGTTGCAGGAAGTCGCAGCCCAAACATTCAAAGGAAATGAGGTACATTCTTCACTTTTCGACTGCAGGAACGCTCGTCTTAATTTAGACACTTGGGCCCGTCATTTGAGTTTATTTTTGGTTTGTGTCAGCCAACACTCTTCGGACTTCACCTCTTCATGTGGTGAGTCTGCTGATTGCAGCAGAAAAAGAGTGTTTCGCTGTGGTTTGGTGAAAAAAGGGAGAGATGTTGTAAGGTGAATATATAATCTCTATTATTCTTCTGTTGCTCAATCCTTGCAAGATGGACCACACAATAAGATCATTTTGACCACAGTACACTGTAAAAAATAAAAAGTTGAGTTAACTTAGAATATTAATGCAACCGGCTGCAAAGAAATTGTGAGTTTATTAAGCTTCAGTGGTTGAAGTTGTACTAAATAATTTTTTTAAGTTGTCTGAAAGGGCTGGTTTAAGTCAAGGATACTTTTTTAAATAATTTGGCACAACTTCAACCACTGAAGCTGGATAAATTCAAAATTTCTTGCAGCCAGTTGCTTTAAACATTTTAAGTTAACTAAACTTTTTTTTTCAGTGGTTAACGCTCAAGTGAAAAAATCTCCTCAAATATTTTTTTTTTACATTTTCATTGAACAAACAGTTCCAAACATGCAGTTAAACTCAAATTTCATTTTCATGTGTAAATTCAACTCTGAGCTCAAAAATTTGTCCACCTAACTTACAATTTTAAACTGAGTTAACAATTTTTAAGCTGTGTTTTTTAGTGTACCAAATTCTGGTGGTTGTTTTTGGTTTTGTGATAGACATGCAGCAATGGCTTGCTTTTTTTTTTTTCTTTGGGGTCTTGTGGTTGAGAAGAGGGGGGGTTGAGGGAGAGAGGATGTGGAGCGTGGCATTAACAGACATGTTCATGTTTACAGGTATTTCATCTCATATGAGAACAAATGCTCAGATGATGATGATGAGATTGTGAATTCTTGTAACAAAAATGGGTGTCTCGGGAGCCTCAGGGGCCACAAGGGGGTGCTGGGAGAAAATTTGAAAAGTTAAAAATGTTTTATGGATTTTATTGGAAGAACAAATGGTAAGGTATTTTGATGGTCCCTTTTGCATATTTTGTTGACCAAAGGTTGAATTGCAACTACATGCCAATTATTTCTCAACTGAGTATTAGTAGACTGTCTGCTTAATATCTGCTGATGCTGCCCCTTCAACTGACATTTAACTATAAGACTAAGAAACTTTGCAAATACATGTGAACCCATACTAACCCTAGCCCCAACCTAACAGTCTACTTATAGCCTTATGATTATTAGTTGGGATGTAGATGCAATGTTACTTAAATTCAACAACAAGTGTGAAAGGGACCATCAAAATAAAGTGATACCGAACAAATAATCATAGTTCTGATGTAGAGGTTTATTTCTCCTCTTTTGCAACATTCATTCATTCATTTTCCTTCAGCTTAGTCCCTTATTTATCAGGGGTCGCGTCAGCAGAATAAACCACCAGCTATTTTGGCAAATGTTTTTACCCAGCGGATGCCCTTCCAGCCACAACCCAGTACTCTGAAACACCTATAGTCTTTTGATTTCACACACTTGGTCAATTTTTAGTAAGCCCAATTCGCCTTTACCGCATGTCTTTGGACTGTGGGGGAAACCAGAGCACCCACGTGAACAGACGGAGAACATGCAAACTCCACAAATGTTGCAAGTGTTGCTGCAAAGCTGCTTTCAAACAACATTTAACATAGTATTTAAATAGTATTTTTAAATATGTTATTGAATATTAAAATGTTATCATACTCGATGTACTGTCACAGAAGGGAGACTGAGACCAGAACAGAGTGAGTAACTGTAACAGTTTATTACAGAATAGTGGTATATGGCAAACAGGAATATAAGTCTTTTATCTTGCTGAGGATGAGCAGTAAACCAGCGATGGAATGAACTGGAGACTGATGGATGACGAGGAACACTGATGATGATGGGACACACACAACCAGTAAAGAACAGAAACTAAAGATTCACTGGAGCAGACAAGATAAGTTTCTCGAATAGGAATAGACTGACTGTGAGAGTTCGTCCTTCTCGAATGCGACGAGGCCAGACACTGAGTGAGGAAGCACGCAGGTATTTATGGGCTGGAGGGATGAGCAGGATATGACGTGCATGTGCGCTGTTGATTAGTATTCGAGTGACGGGGATCTTGCTGATTGCGATGACAGTGAATAGGGTGAGTCATGTGATTGTGAGTGGGGAGAACCTGGCCTGGCTGTGACACACTTTAAATTCGAATGCATGTAAAACAAGTAAAGTACAGTATATTAATAATTAGATTAAATTTACATATTTAAACATTTAAACATTTCTATAGATTTACCATTAATTTGCAAACATTTGCGTAAATTAATTATTTGTTTTAATTTATGAACTATATAGATAACACGCCATAACATTTTCAAATAAGAATAATACTATTCATAGCCTTGTAAAAAGAGTAGTTACTGTTTTAAATGAAGTTAAATCTAATAAATCCTCTTTATATTAAGTGGCCGTAATACTATCATCTTACGCAGTACACTTATGTGCAATGCACTTTTGTACACAAGTTTTCACATCATCCATTTATTTAAAAAAATATCTATATGTAATCAGATTTAATTCATTTATGTGATTAAAATTATAATTACACTCTTATAATTATTGGATTATAATTGTACAATTACACCTACTCATACCACCTGACCTGTTCCTAACCTCACCCATATACCACTTCAATAGCACTAGAACTGTTGCGCAATACAATATGAGCACATTAAGTACATTGTATGTATTTCTTACCTACACTGTAAAAAAAATCCTGGTTACCTTAAATTTTTATGCTGTATTAAATTACCCTTATGAGTCCATTTAACTTCAATTAAGTTTAACTGACTTAAAACTGCTTGCATAACTTATGAAATTAAGTTAGAATATGATTATCTTAGTTTAATAACTTACAATGAACTAAAATATATGTCGTCATGACTTATTGTTCATATATATATATATATATATATATATATATATATATATATATATATATATATATATATATAATTTTTTTTTTTTTTTTTAGTGTAGCAGATATGACCACTTTATTTAAAGTGAGACCAAATTGTCAACTTCAACTTATACTAACATTAAACAGACTTGATGCATCAAGAAAAAAAAATGAAGTTGAAAAAACTCTGTAAACACGCTACAATTAATGTAATGTTGGAATTTCAAAATATCAAAGTTGAACAAATGTCCTCGCTTAGGCTTTGTTAGGGTAAAAAAACAACAAAAAATACTTTAGTGCTTATACACTTTAAATTTTAGTTGAATTGTGTTTTTAAAATCCTCTCAACATTGAGAAAAGCTAATGTTTACCTGACTAATAAACACAAATCCAGCCAATATTATAATCTTCTTAAAACTAGAGTTAATTCTGGGTCACAAAACCCATAAATAATAATAATAATAATAATAATAATAATAATAATAATAATAATAATAATAATAATAATAAATAAGGTTAATGATAATTAAGCTAAATGATAATAAGCTTACACTTCTTGATCTTTTAAAAAGTGAATGTTAAGGACACAGTAAGTAATAAAATAACTAATTTCTTTAAATTGGAAAATTCTTTAAAACATTTGGGATCATTTAAGTACATAAGTCACTGGTCAATTGTTTTTTTTTTGGATACTCTCATATTGCACATATTATGCCTTTAACTTAATAACTGCAGTTCAAACCCAGCATCAGAATGGGGAAGAAAGGTGACTTTGAATGTGGCATGGTTGTTGGTGCTAGACGGGATGGTCTGAGTATTTCAAAAACTGCTGATCAACTGGAATTTTCATGCACAGTAATCTCTAGGGTTTACTGAGAATGACCAGAAAAAGAGAAAATATCCAATGAGCTGCAGTTCTGTGGGCACAAATGCCTTGTTGATACTAGAGGTCAGAGGAGAATGACTGGTTCAAGCTGATAGAAAGGCAACAGTAACTCAAATAAGCACTCGTTTCACTCGAGGTATGCAGAAAATCATCTCTGAATGCACAACACATCGAACCTTGAGGCATATGGGCTACAGCAGCAGAAGACCACCAGGTGCCACTCCTGCCAGCTAAGAACAGGAAACTGAGGCTACAGTTCACATAGGCTCAACAAAATTAGACAATAGAAGAAAAGAAAAATGTTGCCTGGTCTGGGGAGTCTCGATTTCTACTGGGACATTCAGATGGTAGTGTCAGAACATGGTGTCAACAACATGAATGCATGAATCCATCCTGCCTTGTATCAACGGTTCAGGCTGGTGGTGGTGGTGTAATGGTGTAGGGGACATTTTCTTGGCACACTTTGGCCCCATTATTGTCTATTGAGCATTGTGTCAACGCCACACTCCCTGAGTATTATTACTAACCTTGTCCATCCTTTTATGACCAGTGTGTCCATCTTCAGATGGCTACTTCCAGCAGGATAACACGTCATGTCTAAAAAGCGTAAATCATCTTAGACTGGTTTCTTTAACATGACAATGAGTTCACTGTACCCAAATGGCCTCCACAACCAGGACTCAATCCAATAGAGCACCTTTGGGATGTGGTTGAACGGGAGATTCACATTATGGATGTACAGCCGACAAATCTGCATTAACTGCATGATGCTATCAAGACAATATGGACCAAAATCTCTGAGGAATATTTTCAGTAACTGTCTTTGCCACAAAGGATTAAGGCAGTTCTGAAGGTAAAAAGGGGTCCAACCTGGTACAAGTAAGGCGTACCTAATAAAGTGGCCGGTGAGTGTATATTTGAAGCCCTTGAATTTTGAAAAACCCTTATGCAAATCATGCTCCAGATACATATTCTGCTTTAAAAAAATTTAACCAAATAATTTCCAGGAAATAGCATTGATGTTTATTTATCCCATTTATGCAAACAGACTATTTATTCAATAGAACAATCCAACACTGATGAAAATGCAGAAGGAAAGTGTTTATCAGATTTGCTTTTGAGTTCTAAGTAGGTTATCATGATGGTTTGATTAAGCTCTACACGAGAGCTTGACACTTTCACGAGTGTTTGTTTTCCCCTCTGGACCTCGAGGGCATCAGTATCCGCAACACAACTATACACCTTTTGTGTCTTCTCAGGTGACCTAAATAGTTTGTGTTTCTGTTTGAAGGAGAAATCAAAAGCAGCTCTTCAATGGAGGTTTTGCCCTAATGCCACTGGGTTTATGAGATATCAACTACAAAAGGGCGTAATGTCAGTGCTGACAACAGCTTAAGGAAAGACAGCTTTCTCTGTCATGCCTCGCTCTCACTCTCTCTTTTTTCCCTCTCTCTCTCTCTCTCTCTCTTTCTCTCTCTCCAATATTTATCCAGGATGAGATCATTTCTTGGCAGTCACATTGCCTGCTTTTGTCAGCCAGTCCCATCACCGCACTTACAATCAATACAGAAACTGGCCCATTGTTGGACTTTTTTATGGGCGTAAACGCAGCCTGTTCTGATCAATTTAATTTATTTTTAGTCATGTGATCGCATTGCATAAATATCATTTTAATTTTATCATGTCAGTATGTGCAAGACGAGACTGAATGTGTTCAAACAAGTGTAACTTTGACTCAAAAAAAAGATTTATGGTAACTCATAAACTGATTATATCAAGCAGAACTCAAAACAAATGAGTTATAATTTGTTTTCTTTGTGTTGACTGATGCTAGAAGCAATACCAAACCATTTCAGTTGCTAGAATATATAGTTGTATGGACTCAATTCAGTGTTTAAGTTACAAATACTCTAAATGTTTGACGATATTAGTACAAATAATATGTGTGTATATTTCAATATACAGTACTGTATATAGAAGTTTACAGTACTCAAACCATTTTGTTTCAATTAAATGCTTTATGGCAGTTGGTTTCCTCGAACAGTTTAAGCAAACTTAACTTATCAGGTTTTACAGTGTACATGAATGAGGACATTTTTATCAATAAGACAAACAAATATGGGTATTTACAAATATAGAATTTATTTCAACATTGAAAGCAACAGTGATGTTCCAAAGGATTATACAATTTCATTATAGAAATTAAATCTTTTAAGTTACAATCTCCATCATCATATCCCTTCAAATGAGCTTTAAGGCATCTTTATTCATTCTTTAGCTTTTTAAGGCAATTGTTTTTAGCCCTGTTATTTAAAAAGTCAGTCATTGTTTTCAGTTTCATTAAGCAAGGATGATTGGAAGGAAAAGCATGTTTAATGTATTAAACATCTGTTCATCAAACATTGGATTAATCAAAAAATATATACAGTACACGAGCATTCAGAAGTACAGAATCTGTACGTTATTTTCAATGATTTGAAGAAAAAAACTTCTGCTCACCAAAGCTGCAAGTATTTAATCAAAAATACAGTACTTATTTTAGTCATACTTAATAAAACAGGGAAATATAAAGAAATATCAGCTGTTTTTATTCAATTTCTATTTTTTTATATTTTAAAACCTTATTTATTCCTGTGATGGTCATTACTCCAGTGTTTATTGGCCCATTATCCTTCATTTTTTAACAATATAATAGGCTTTTCTTTCATTTTTTTCACGTACTATCACACATACACACACACATATATATGTTTATACAGTGTTGGGAAAAGTTCATTTTGAAAGTAATGCATTAAAATATTGAGTTACTCTCCAAAAAAGTATCTAGTTGCGTTACTTTTTTATTGTAAGTAATGTGTTACGTTATTTTTGAGTTGCTTTTGCGTTTTACTACCTGGCCGAGGCTTGATCTCTTTCAGAACTTGTTTTTTAAATAGAGGAGCACTGCAGTGTACCAATACACTTTATAACCTACACCTACATTTATCTTAAAAAAACACATCAAAAATATATTGTAGGATAATTTTATGTGAGATGTCCTGACCCCAGAGATATTTATGCCGTATATAGCGATTATTGAAAGTTTAATGCAATGTGTTTGTTACGTTTGTACTATTTGTCTTAAGTAAAATCACTGTTCATTGAGACTATAATACCCTTTTCATTTTCTTCGAAGCGTTCAAAATAATGAACGCATTCTCTCATGACTGCTTGATTCGTTGTGACTACTTTAATTTTAATTCAGCAATTTATAGTATAAAAGCTAATTAGTTCAAATAAAAAGTAACTCTCGTTACATTTCCAAAAAAGTAACTCAAGTATTATTTCTTTATTTTTTTAAGTAATTTGTTACTCTGCTCATTAATTAAAGTAATATTATTACGTAACTCACGTTACTTGTAATGTGTTACCCCCAACACTGTGTATATTTATGTGTGTGTGTATATATATACTAAATATACTATATTTACTAAAATATAAAGATCCTCTTTGTTATGTTTTTATTTTATCAGGTAGCTTTTTTTTCTTTAGGTTTGTACAAAATATATACAGCACAAACACAGTGCCACATCTCCAATGCCATGTAATAACGTAAATCAAACTTCAATTGATTCTATGGAAGTACAAACGACACTATAAAATCATATAAACCTACTGACCTTACTGTGTAAATGAAAGTTTCTCAAACATCAACCAATAAACGTACCCTCAACTTTAGACACATCATGCAGAACAGAAGCTGAGTTTGGCCTTTCATTTGATGCAGCTCTTGGTTATTTTTAGGGTTTAGGTGACAAGGTGATAAAATGCCTGAATACAGACTCACACTTCCTGCGAAGCTGCTGCTCGGGAGCGAAGCCAACCTGACAGGACACAGTGTTTCCTTCTCTGATATGTGTTGATCACACACCTATTCACACACACAGAAGCAGGTTCCTCCTGATTCTCGGGTCACTTCAGATGTTGTTAAATTTAATTAAAGAATGTTTTCAAACACTGAGCTGAGGCAAATCGACTTACACTAGTGCTTTTATCGTTGTACAGCAGATCAAGGACTGCTGCTGTAGTGCTGGTTTCCTCTTATGATCACCTGTTGTCTAGTCAGTAAGGCTCAGTGAATTTGGTAACACTTAACAATAAGGTTTTTTAGTTATCGGTTAACGTGAACTATAACAAAAAATATGCCTAAAACATTCATCTTAGTCAATGTTACAGTTTTTCCTCAATCGCTTTGGTCCATTTCTCAGATCAGAATTAAAATTCTCAAAACTACTTGTTCAATCTTCACATTATTGAGCAAGAGACTGGCTTTCGCAGCTAATCCATGGTGTTTTCCTATTTGTAAGCGCTGTTTTGAGAAATGCACTTACTGTTTGCAAATTTCAATTCTGATCTGAGAAATGCACCAAAGCGACTGAGAAAAACTGTAATTGAAACACAATAATACATTATTAATGTACCCTAACGGTGCCAAGAAAAACCAAAAGTTTTTTTCACAGCAATTATATAAACTGTCAAAAAATATCCAGTATTTTAGCAGTATTTTGTGTCATGTTTTCATTTTCCCCCATATATTTATACTTTTAAATCGCATTATGAGACCTTAATATTTCATCCAACAACTTTTAACCCTAAAAAGTTCGAAAAAGGGACTTTCATTAACATTTTTAATAGTTTCAAATCATAAATTGTATGTGTTGGTTGTATATTACAGTACAAAAACCTTGTAATAAACTGCCAGTACATTTTCAGTAATTTTACAGACTTATTTCTCTATGTATTATTTCTTATAATTTAACTGTAAAGGTAACTTTGTTAAACTGCAGAGTTGGACTTTCCACATCAAAAGTGGACAGAGCAGAAATGAAGGTCCCATAATGCAATTCACAACTGTAAACAAACAGAAAACACTTGTAAATCACAAAATATGGAAACTGTTAGTTAACAGATATCTTTTACTGTGTAGAACTGCTTTTTTTTTTGTTCCACAAAGAACTTTTTAGTGAAGCGAACCATTCTTCCCAGTGTAAAAAAAACAATTTAATATATATAAAAAAATGTTTCAATGCCAATAAATTATTTTTTAAGAGTTATAGACATAAACTATGAATAGTAAACTAACAAAGATTAATAAACACTGCAACTAGGGATGAGTGACAAAAATCTGAAGGAAACTGTAGGTGTAATTCTAGTCAGAACTAATTAATGTGCACTAGTAGATATGCACGAATCACTCTTATATGCCTAATATTTCAGATTTTCAAAAGGTTAAATTCAAATCAGCTAAATTTAAGACAAAACTTAGTAGTTTGCATTACGGCATGATTATAATACGATGATAATATCAGTAATAATTTGTAATTTGGATATCTTAATCATTTAGACAATTCCTGTTATAAGGCATGTTATATGAGTCAGATAAGCCTAAAAAATGTAACTTCATGTATTGCAATCTTACCTAAAGATCGTATAACTTAAATCATGTTGTAGGGACATTTGAAAGTGTACTACTTCTACATCAGTTGGACAATTTTATTTTACTTTTTAGCATTTCACCCTTAATGCTGTTCAATGTAGATAAAGGTATAATTCACCCATTCTTGTTTTAAAAGAAAGATAGTCATGAAAGTTTAGAACCAATCAAGTGTGTCTAAATGGTGAGGAGATTTTCATTTTTGGGTGAACTATCCCTATAATACATAACTAATGGGACCTTATTGAAAAATGTTACCATGATATTGTTTAAAATAGTCTAATTTAACACCAAAATTGGCTTCCAGTGTCTGCACTGCATAAAAAGTTGTGTACTCAGTTGAGTCTCTCATAACCTCATCTTTCAACAGAGTGAGAATCGTCTGGAGTTGAGGTTCATCTTGGTGAGACCCAGATGTTTGAGAGGTGTGGAAAGAGTGAAGGCGGCTTTCATGGGGATGTCACACAGTAGGTCTGAGTCTTCCTCACACTCCTCCAGCTCATACGTGGCGTCATCCAGCATCTCTTTGTGGCGGTGGCACACCTGCTCCACCTTAAGCCTGTGGATCTCCACTCGTAAGCGGATCAACTGGCGCGCCAGACGGTTATCCTGCATCTGCATCTCCCTCTGAAGACAAATACAAGAGAATGAAAGTGAGGGAGATGTTTAGCGCACATTTCACTGTGCTCTGGCAGACCAGCACTAATTAAAAGATTAAATTAGTCAGCTTTCACACATGGAATTGGGCACAACTTTCTGTCAAACACCCACTCAAGTTTCTGCACCTGTGTGGTATTTAAGTGGAATATGCCAAGAGAATGGAGTCCTGCCACCTGTCGCACAATGCCAGATTTCATGATCAGTTGGCAATGCTTTACAACAGTCTGGCTCTTTAGACAAATACAAATAACTGCTTTGGACAAGTGCTGATCTGTTAAAGTATGTGTTTTATAGTATTTCCATCAAGATACTATTTGAAAAGTCTATATTCCTCTGTGTTGTGATTTATAATTGTTTGAGGAAAACATTTTGTTGTATTCTGTAAAATATATTTAATTAAGAAGGAGAAAAGGGTGCCATGTTTTGACACATTTACAGTTATGTTTAAATACACACAAATCTTTTAATTTAAGACCAAAAATTCATTATTCATTGCAATAACCCTGACTATGTTTTATATGAAATTATCAAAAGTGTTTTTAAAAACCAAGTGACCATCACTGTAAAAAATATTACTGCCCAAACTCAAATTTTTTTAGTAACTGGTCATATCTAAATTTTTCAATTGTTCCAAATGATATTCAAACTGACTTTTTTCAATTGTAGCAAAAGCCTGTTAACATTGGCTCAATGAGAAATAATGTGTTGAGACAATTAAAAAAACCCTAAATCTGCCCAATCATTTTATTGGCCCGACTGAATAATTTAAACTGTTGCAGAATGCACTTTTGGTTTTACCTCATTTAAAATGTATATTGGGAAATTTACATTGCTAAAGCAACTTGTTACATTGCTAAAGTAAATTGCTTATTCTCTGTTGACCCAAAAGAAAATGAATAAAATATACTAGATAATGATACACTAAAACACTGCCACATTTCTTTATTTATTTATGCAATTTTGTGAAAAAACATTAAAATAACAAATACATTGAAGATTTCTACAAAATAAACCTTGCAAAATTAATCTAAAACCATTGGGAAGTAATTTTTTGATTCAATATTTAATTGTCAGTTTCCGCATTTTTTCATAAAGTATTTTTTACAGTGTTTATGGAATAAAATACCTTGTACTTTTATAGATTTGAGTAAAAGTAAGCTGTTCAATTTTCTTTTTTACTATTGTTCATATTGCAGGATTAGTTGCTTATCAGTATGTTTTTGTACAATATACTCAAGTTTTTAGTCCTGCCATTATGAGAAATTGTTTCCAAAATGACCCAAATTTTGAACAAATGACAGGCAGATAGATTGATAGACAGACAGACAGACAGACTTAGTTATATAAATCAAAGGTGTCAAACTCTTAGTGCCTACCCAATTAAAACACACCTGATCAAACTAATTGAGTCCTTTGGGCTTGTTTGAAACCTACAGGTAAGTGTGTTGAAGCAGGGTCGGAACTAAACTGCAGGGCAACGGCCGTCTACTAAATTTGATACCCAATATAGAGTAGATAGATAGAATTAATTCAACATTAGATATATTAACCAAAAAGGGATAATTTACCCTCTATTTATTCTTCCTCAGGTTGTTCTAAACTTTTCTGTGTTTTATTCTTCTGTTAAACAATAAAGAAGATGCTTTGAAAAAAAGCTGAAAACCTGTAACCATCAACTTCCATAGTGGGAAAAACCAAATAGGCTACTAAGGATACCAGTGGTTACAGGTTTTTCAGCTTTATTCAAAATATCTTCTTTAGTGTTCAACAGATACAAACAAGTTTTGAAAGATTAAAGTGTGAGTAAATGATGACAGAATCCTCAGTTTTGGGTGAACTACTTTGTCAAAAAGTTTCAAGTAAAAACAAAAGAAACATAAATACAATACCAGTTCGCTTCTGAGCCACTCTAACGCGTCGTCTATAGTGTCAAATCCACATATGTTCTTATAAGGCATGCCATCTTTCCAGATGTCTGACATTTGGCTGTCCTTCTCCACAGAGCCCGGGCTGCCGACATTTGAACCGTGCGCAGCTCCATCAGTCCACGGCTGAGACTGCAGTCGCTCCTTCCACTCCAGGTAGGACGGTCTGCGTGTCTGGAGTTTGAGTTTCTCGGTCAGGGCTTTGACACTATCCAGATCCTCCGTATCTCCCTCAGAGCCCTCATCCGCTCCCAGTTCTCTGAACTCCATCTCTGTGCTGCTCAGACATGTGCGCTGCGCATGATCATGTGCGCACTCCGGTCATTAATCTCAAGAGGTGTGCTCTGCTAGTGTTTATATAGACAGAAAAGTGACCGCCCATGTTATGCAGACTAATAACAGAGAAATTTAGACCGTCTGAACTTGAATGTTGCGGCTAGACGCAACATTTCGTGCTCTTGTGGAGCTACTGTGGAGTCACAGGGTCAGGAATACATCGGTTTAAACTCGCACTTAAAACCCACTGCTGAAGACAATTTTATGTGGAAATTTTCAAGTGTCACAGGGTCAGTAACACGTTTAACTTCACACGTAAAAACCACACAGGTGCGTGGTTTAAAAAATTGACAGTTTTCACCAGACCATCTGATTTGATAAAAGCATTAAGATGAGAGACAAAGTTCTGAATATTTAGCGTAATTAGGCTTTGGTCATTCTGGCTCAAACGCGCACAGCTTCTCTAATCAGCTCTACAGTATAGACTTTGTAAGCTATTGCTTCGATGCCAATTTGAAATTCCTTAAAATTGATTTATGTCAGAATGTCTCCATCTTGTGCTGTTGCTGAGAAATTGAGCTTTTCCGTGAATTAGCTATAATCGGTCAGTTTATGTATGCTGGGGGTTTGCTTAAATTAGGGTATAAAATGTGTTTAAACTATTTTCATATGATGAAATAATTATATATAATTATATAATTATATAATATATATATATATATATATAATATATATATATATATATATATATATATATATATATATATATATATATAATATATATATATATATTATTTTATTATTATAATGAGATAAAATCTGTTGCTCAGATAAAATTGGATTAAATTAAAATAGCATTAAAATGTACCAAAAGCTATACATTAATAACGGATTAAGTACTAAATGCAAATGAATAAGAAAATCCAAAAACAATGGGCTACATGAGATTTAAAAACAGTCACTTTGTGATAACTTTGTTCTTTCTTTTTTGACACAATGTCTCCATCGTCTGCTGATGTTGAGAAATTGCAAGAGAAGTATTTGAATTTTTTTAGTTTTTAAAGCCAAATGAAAATGTAGGTTATATGTGCAAAAGGAGTGTGTAAAAATGCTAACAATGCAAAAATAATAAATAAAATATATCATTATAATTACAAAAACAAGCGACGTAACATAACAACAATAAAATGCTACTAAAATAAATGTATTAATAAATAAATACAAGACTAATTACTAGGGCAAATGTGATAGCCTATTAGAAACAGAATGTTTTCCTAGTATTATTTAGTTTAATTTATAATATTTTTAACAGTATAAATGCAGGAAACTGGGCTAAATATATTTAAGCGTCTTGAAATTAACTGTGCTATTGATTTTTCTTTTCTATGGTTAAGACAAATAAAAAAATAGGGAAAAATGAAAGGTAATAGCCTATACTTAAAAAAAATAATACACAACTTATTAGGATGGCTGTTGTAAAATATGCTAACTACATTTGATTTTTTTTTTTTTTTTTTTTTTTTTTTTTTTTTTTTTTTGATTGTGCATCAGTATAATCTGAACTTTCAGGAAGTGTGACTAAAGAAATTGCCACAAGACAACAGTAATAACAAAAGAAAAACCTGAAAAAACAGAGGAGGGGCTGGGGCTTAAATACTGAACGGAAACGAAAGTAGAGGCAAACGCTTAACCAGGCTTTATGAAGCGCACGACCGACACACCTCCTGCTGCTCGCGCACTGTCGGCGGTTTATAGTTGCCAAATACCGGTGAGTTTTATAATATAGCCCTGTAACATAACGGGCTGGGGCAGAGATTTCTACAGGATAGTTAATGTCAATTGCGGAAGACATAGTACAGTGGCTCACCAGCTTTCTAAACTCAAAGCGTGAGAAACACCAGATGGTGGTTGCTGTCGCAGAGAAATGGAGCTGTCGTCGGAGCACATCAAGACTGCTAATGTTGAAGATGTTACCCTGAGAAGACCTTTCCATCCAGCGCTCAGAGGAACCCTGTGTGTGACCAGCCACCACCTTCTGTTCTCCGACAGAAAGGATGAAGCTTCCTGGCAACTTCTCTTGCTCCTCAAGAACATCGATGCCATTGAGAAAAGGTAGACAGACTGATGCTCTCATCAGAGCTTAGTTTTTTAGGTTATTATAATATGGTTATTTATTAGGTTATTAACAATGGATGCGTGTACACAAGTAGTGGAAAAAAGATAAACAGCTTAAACAAGAAAATAGTTTAGGATGGTTAGTTGGTTTTATCTGGTTTATGAAGCTCTCCTTGCAAGGCCACTCTGGTCTTAACTGATGTCTAACTAGTAAAAAATGCTTAAAACCCATTTAGACACCAATATAGACCATCTTACGGCAGCTTTAAATAGTGGCACCTGCAGATGTAACTTGTTGTTACTGGTCTATTTCATAAATTTGGCTTTGTTGGGATAAATATATATAATTAGGTGGATTTAGTGGTGTTAAATAATATTTTAGGAGTGTTTTTTCGCCTTAAGCCTACATCCTGTGTTCTTATCATGAGATAAACTGGGTGATAACTATAGATACTATCCCAAAACCTACCACTGAACATAACCTTAAGCCATTTACTTATTATATAACTGTACTTTCTTAAGTAAGTTTACTGTAAGTACATATTAAGCATGGATACTTTAAAGTGCGACCATGAATTTTGATCTGATTTAACTTAGATTGAAGATCAATTATTTTTACTTCGTTTCAAGCACCGCATGAATTTGTATGTACTGTTGATCAATGCTAAAACATGTTCTGCTTTTAATTACAGTAAAATAATACTTCTGTTCTTTGTAAATGCATAATTCATATTCTAATTATTCTGTGCATCTTTTCTTTAAGTCTTACATCATAATTACAGCAGATCGTCAAAGACAATTGTGTTTGTGTGTGTGTGTGTGTGTGTGTGTGTGTGTGTGTGTGTGTGTGTTTTGAGCCATGAAGTGATCTGCTTCTGTAATAATTAACTCTAATTCTTTCTTTCTCTAATTTTACCCATCACCTTTCCTGCGTGTCAGTGTCGAGAATCTTTTTGGATACCCAAGGTACAAAAACCGGCCCAGTGTTTGATTTGTGGACTTATATTGCTCACTGAAGCCGCCGTTTTATTCTGATTTGCCTTCTGCTGTTAAATTATACAGAAATGCTTCAAAGGAGTTGAGCGTCATTTGAGAATAAAAAGACGACTTCTAAAATGAGCTGCGCTGGCAATCAACGCTTATGGCAGAGATGAAAAACAGAATATTTTGCAAGATCATCTATGCTTTGCAATGAGCATTTGCACAACCGACCATGCTTTTTTGTGTTTCATGCAAACCAGAAACAGTTATGTATATGTTCTAAATCCAATGAGATCCAATGCGGTGTACTCTTAGCTTACATTAAAAGTTATATATAGAGCTAAATGTTATATTTAGAGCTTTCAGTTGATGTTACTGTTTCTCTGCTAGTCTTATGCACATGGCTTGTTTTTGCTTCCTGCTTCCGTCTCTTGTGAGGCCCCAGTGGGGACGATAGTATGGAATCGGAGAATGTGAGAAAACATGTACTTAAAAATGGGTGGGGGTGTTGTGCATATGTGTCTAATTCAGGGCTGTTGGACAATCCTCCGGTACAATCACCATTAAATGTAAGGACCTGCTTGTTCTTCAGCTGGAAATTCCTGGAATGGAGGAATGTCTGAACATTGCCAGTTCTATAGAGGTACTAAATGCAGTTATTATTATTAGCTGTTTGTGAGACAGGGATAAGTAGTAATGTTGCTAATTTTTATGTGTACTGTACCGATCAATGGTTTGGTGACTGTAAGGACTGTATATTATTTGAGAGAAACTGTGTATGTTTCACCAAGGTTACATTTATTTGATTCAACATAGGCTCATTCTGAAAGCCTATACGTCTCTGGAGATTGCGAATTATGAAGCCAGAATTATTTATGGCTGCGTTTCATTTTAAAAACAAACACTACAGGGTGGTATGATGCCGTTCCTTTTCGCTCTTACCAGCTGACCACTTACCTCCTTGTGGATGGCTTTCCCTTCTACTATTTTTGCTACCAGTTTGTCCAGTTAGCTTGACATATATGTCAGCAGACTTGAGTTGCAGAGAGTAGTTGAACACGAGGACGGGGTTTGATTCCAGAATTCCAGAAATCGGGTAAGACAAAAACAGAATCCAAAAAATAAACAACTAATTAACAGGGTGAGAATGTAGTAAAATCTGAAAATGTGTTTAAAATCAGGCAAGGGCTTTTCTTTTTCTGGATTGCGTTTTAAAATTGACGGTTGGGTTTAGGAAAGTGGGTGGATCCATCTGGGCTTTTGAAAATACAATTGGTTAATTTTAAGGAAGGAGGAAAGTGGGTCAGTCGATTGGTCAGTCAGTCATTCAGTCAAATAGTCAGTCAAGGCCAGCCTCTGGTGGATTCACGCGAGAACAACAGGCGTGAATGGCACTCGTGAAAGAAATTTGAGATATGACAAAGCGTACACAGCGGCCTCTAGTGGATTCACAATAACAAAAACTGCAAATAAACAGCTCCTGGGACGTATTTAACTGTTTCCAGAAATGTAACATATAGAGATAAATGTAGAGGTACGTTTTTAGAATGAGCCTGGGTTGATTTGTATTACAAGACAAAATTTACAGACATTAAACTTGTTAATGGCATTTAACTATTTTATTTAAAATTTTGGAATTCTGATTGTTCTAAACCATTTGTGCATTTGGATGTGGCATTTAATTCAACAGCAACTTTTTAAACAGGGTTATTTAATAATACACCAATACAGTACAGTTTGAGTCAACAGATATTACACTTCTGCTTTTGTCTGTTATTAATTTCATGTTATGGCTGAAAAGGGTCCGCTGATGTTAAATTCTGTACACTGTTAGACATTTTAGTGTATTTTTGCAGTAACTTACAGGCAGCACTGTTGCAAGCTATTTACCACAACCGCTACTTTACAGTAGCATACCTTTAAAGGTGTTTTACAGTAGTAGGGCCCTACTGCAAATTTATTTTACAGTAAAATAGCCTTACCACAGCTTCTTTTTTATGGTATAATGCCCTTTATCACATTTTAAATTCACAGTACAACAATTTTGAAAGATTACACTGGCAAAACAAAACCTTTATTTAGTATTTACTATTGAATGTATTACATTCCAAACAAGTGATGAGATCATGTACAACAATTATTAACTTTTCAGTGTTATTATCCTATATAGCAAAAATTCTCAGATCTGGCCCACACAGGCTTTTGGTTGGCCCACATGCCAGAGTGAATCACGGTACATGATTGGACCAAGTCTGGCTTCCAAACAAGGGCCAAACATGGACCATATCTCGGCCAAGTCTCAGCTAAGTAAATAACCCATAACTGGGTGTGAACTGGGCCAGATATGTTGCTGTGTCACGACTGCAATGAATTTGATCAACTCATGAAGCATTATGGCCGCGCTTTTTCTCGAAGCAACCCGATTGGTAGAATTTTTTCTTTACTCAAAAATAATTTATATGTATTTTAAAAGTGAGTCAAGATAGGCCAAACTTACATGACCCACATATAAATTTTTAACATCTGGCCCAAATACTACATTGGATA